GTGACCTGGTGTAAAATATATTCGATGGAAAAGAAAGCTTTGTGTTTCTTTTCCCCTGGTGCTGTATCAGAAGCTTCGTGTCTTCCCAGTGCTCGTAACAATGAAGCATCAAATGCCTGGTGTTGGGAATTTGGATGAATTTGGTACTTAGTAGGTGGCGTAATGCCGTAAATCATCTGGGGAATTTGATGGAATTTGTGCAGATTAACATCCCTACTTCGTTGGGGGTCATTCCAAAAATTCCCTCCACCCTGCTGGCAAATGTGCTGAGGTTTGAAGACGTGGAGGCGTGCAGCAGTCCTGCCTTCGTTCTTTATGGAGTGGAAAGCCTTCTGTTGCCAGACAACCATCCTGCCATTCTGCCATCCTGCCTGCGGCTCCCACAGGTGTCTTGCTGAGTACGGTGCCATGTACACTCCCTGAAATCATGGAAGTGGAACAGGTCGGCCCCTGGAAGACCATTTTCTAATATGGACACAACAAGGTTCGCTCCAAGTGACCATTCTTTCCATGTGAAACAGGTGACCCTTGCTCCCTCCAAACTCATCCAACTCCTCAGCCTCCAAACTCCGCTGTTTCCACCCCAACGGCGGCACCGGACGCCCCGCGCCACGCCCCGCGGAGCGACGGAGCGACGGCAGGCCTTTGTGCGGCTGTCGGCCTGGAGCGACCTGCCGCGTCGGGGGGCGCGAGTCGGGTCGGGGGTCCGGTGGGGCGATCCGTCCCAGAACCTCCAGGTGAAATATGTAGAAATACGATCAGGTGATATATTGTATAGTATAGTATATGGGTATATAATACCTGTATATGTTTTATGTTTTACAGTTTTTAACATTTAGTTGTTTTTTGGTGTGGATGTTTGAGCGGTCAGGGGTAGTTGAATAGTCTTATACTATCTTATATATACACTTATAGAATTAGTCTTACACGGATTGTTGTCAAATGATGTTGCCAGATAATTACCACTGGTCACGAGAAAAGGAGGGCCAAAGGAGACAGGTCCAGAGGCCCCTGGTACGACATGATACGACCGACAGCCAAAACATATCGGAAACGGCACATGCTGCAAAGATGGAATACACAGTGCCTGTGAGAACCCCCGCGTCAGTTCATCAGAACGAGCGCTCATTTTTTCGGACGTGCGAGTTCGCCCGGCTCAGGCTTGGACGGAATGATGGAATCCGAGGCCTTCAGAAGACGGGTCTTTGAACAATGCTTCATCCTCAGTGGGCAGGTCTTTGAACAATCTTGATTCGTATCCCTCCACACTTGGATTGTAAAGCCTCTTATGGCGGAGGTTAGGCACTTCGAGCCCTCTACCTGCGACCACATGGTGAACAGGCACCATCGAGGTGAAGGCAAGAAGCCGAGGAATCGACCCGAGTTCGGCCCGAGTTCGGCCCGGGTTCGGGGCCCGAGGCCTCGCTGAAAAGCCACTCCATCCTCTCTTCTTTCGCATGGTGCGATGCTTTCCACCCACAAAAGCTGCTCTGGAGGTGTGGAGATCATGCTCCGGTGGGGGCTGGGAGACTCCGTCCGTTTGCTCTGAAAATGGCTTTCATGTAGGGTCATGTAATGTAGGGTCATAATTCTTAGGCACCCCAATTTGGCGCATTCAGAGCTGCTAGAAGTTTTGGAGCTGCGATCCAACCTGAGTGATTCAAACCTGAGATGACACCGGAGATGGCCAGAGCTTTCGGAGTAGCCACATGGTCGATTTGTCTAGAATTCCTTGGAGTTCACCAGCTTTGGGAATCGGGAATCTCTTTAACTTGGTCAACATGGTCAACTTGGTCTCACCCGTCTCATCGTGTCTCATCGAATGTTTGAAGACACCCATCAATGATCCCCTACATACAAGCACACATACACAATCATACACACACCGACATGACATACTTACGACTCACCCCCCTCAAAAAAGAAGAAACAAAAAGACCTCCTTTCTCAGGGCTGAAGAGCACACCCGGCGGTTGCTTCCCTTTCCGCAGGAGTTGCTGTTGCCCTATCCAGAGCTGCGGTGGACCTTGGAGCTGAATCGCCTCAACGAGGCACCGTTTGGGCGCGCGCACAACGCGTGGCTTGGAGAGGGACTGAGGAAGAAGAGAGGGACTAAAGCAGCTGATAGGAGAAAGATGGAGGAGCAGCTGATGAACTTCGTAGGTAGTAGGGTGACGGGAGGAGCTGGGTGGGCACCATTCCGGAGACGGGAGGAGGATGGGAGGAGGAGTTGTAGCGGTGAAGAGGATTGTCCGATTTGCCTCGTTCCTGTGTGATGTTCCGGCGCCATGCTGGACCTCGACAACTCGAGAGTGAGTTGGGATGACTTGGAACATGTATAAAAACCACAGAAAATTGCCCGAATCATGCCCGAAATCCGCTCCGGATCGACCTTTGCCTGGGCACTTCTAGTTGGGCAGACCTTCCCACCTCCTAGCATCTCCTAGCTGCTCCGTTCGTAGCGATGCCCGGTGGTGAGGGGTCGGCCTAGCCAGGTCGGCCAGGTGGGGATCAGCCCATGGCCCAATGCCATGCATTCGGTGCGGCGGCCCGGGCCAGCCGCGGGTAGTGAAGCTCGGCGGGGTTGACCAGGATTTTCAGCTGAGCATGCTGAGCCCCACAAGTGTCATAAATGCCAAGAAACAAGGTGGATGCCCATGTCAAAACACTTGTGAGCAGTCTAGAATTCAAAGTGGATCCAGTACTCTACTGTCACTACTGTTTAGTTTTTGTTTCACCACTAAGGGTGCCAGGTCTTTTGGTTGACTCTCAGATGGATTTGTTCTAGGCTTCAGTTGAACGAACTCTGAGGGGGAAGGATACTCCATGACTGCCACTGGTGATGGCACTTCTGGATCGGACGGTTTGGAGCTATGAACAACGTTCCGTTTTTTTCGGGGTCACAGCTCACGGATGGGGGGATTAAGTCGGCTGTAGCGATTCCAGGTCAAAGAGATTGCCATTAAGGCCATGGAGAGGACGGGGTTCCTGGCCGCCGTTGGGTTCGTGGCAGCGGAGTCAATGGTGAAAGGCAATTCCAGAGGTCAAACTCTCAGTGAGAGCTCCTGACTAGGGTCACTTGTTACTCTGCCAATCACTTCAGAGGTGCATGATGCTCCAAGTAGATCCAAATGGAGTTGCTTAAGACGCGTCTTCGAACGTGTTGAGGGGGGCAAAACCACGCTCATGGTGTCAAGCATCCTTTGGATCCAAAATAGACCTCACAGAGGCTCTATGAGGCCTGCTTTGCTACTTCTTTTGATGCATCAGGCAGTTGTTCAGGGTGCCTTGCGGGACTCTTAGGAATGGAGTCTTTTGCATTCTTTTGCGACACCAACACCGCTGCGACCTTACCAGGGGAGATGCCAGCAAAGATGAACATCGCTCTAAAGCATTGAAGGTGGGAGGCTCAGATAGGACCTCTTGTGGTCTATCTCCGCTGAAAATGCTTCAGCTCCGAAGAGTGGCTTGCATGATTCCTGTGCATGAAGAATCTGATGACCCGGTATCATGACCAAAGAGAAGCAGCTTTCTGCAAAGCCATGCAGATTGCAAAGCAACTGACAACAAACATTTTCGCACCTGAAGGGTTGTAATTACATGTAATTACAGGCTACCAGTGCCCGACCAGAAATCTGTTAGACATTGGTTCCTTTGAGGATGCAAATCTGTTGGACATCTGTAAGAAACGAGGATGCAAAGCCAGGACACAAAACATGTTTCCCAAAAAAACCATTCGTCAGCGTTGGATTCTGCCGATCCTTTTTCCTCCGGCGTCTCGAACACCTAAGACAGTGTTGACAATACTCAGCCGCAAAAATATCGCAACATAGTATCGTAAAGTGCAGCTCCTGAAAGGCTCTGAACAGCTTCAAAAGTCATCTTCATTCTTTCATATTCTTTCCATCAAAAGATTCATCTAGCAATACCAGCCACATCAGCCTTGCTCGCCGGCTCACCGGTGGGGTCCGAGGCCTTGGCGTCCATTGCCTCGCTGGCGCAAGAGGAATGGAGCGATCCGTGGTCGGAAAGTCCGGTAGCCACCATTGATTGCGCCATCCAACGCCAGCTATTTCTAGCCTACAGTACTGTATCCCTTTCCATTTTGATACCGTTTTGGTGAGTTGAGCGATCGCCACACCGTTCCGGTCTCGCCTCGCCACACCGTTTCCGGCACGCGTTTGCCACCCGTGGTGCGTTCGACGCACGGAGCGCTCGTTCGCTCGCTGCAGGAGCCTCGCGTGGTGCGATGTAGCTGAAAAAGGGTACCGAGCGGATCAGCGCAGCGGAGGTGGATGTGGATGAGGATGCCTATCGGAAAGAGTGATGAGGATGAAAAAGAGTCAGAGGATGAACAGAAAGCACATCTTTCCCAGATGCTCCATGAAGATTGCAGTGAACATTGCATATTCACCCATCAGTTGGGCTGGGTTGAAGTGGGGGTCAGTGGGTGGCAAAGATTCCAGTTCCATTAGTCGTGTCTGGGTTTGGTTCACAAACTCTTGAGGACTCCCAAGCTACCTTTGTTCCAAGCGACCTTTTGCTCCTGGCGGCCCCCTTCCGCGCCTTGCGACGTCTGACAGATATCGATACTACTAGCATACCGTATACATGATCTATTACATTTCCATGCCAAGGCTATGCCACGTCCCATGTTTCTCAGCCACTTGGCTCAAAACGTTTGCGATTCTTGTTTGTCTCAGCACAAGTTGGAGGTGCGAGAACCGAACTCGGACGCTTTTTTTCGAAATCGAAGGCGCCTTGGTCAGCTGGCAGAAGCCTTTTGGTCACGTTTCCCAAAGAGAGGACCATCCCTTTAATTTTCTCTGATTCATAGCGAGTAAACATGGACATTCTGGGCACATCATCAATTTTCCTTTGAGACATGATTAGAAGATGTCTCATCAGGCAATGATTAGAAGGTTGGGGGGCCGGAATCGACCGCAAGTGAACTGAGAATCCCCTCGCGCCCGCCAGGCCCGGGGATTCTCATACGCAGAATGGTGGTCCTCTCCAACTCGTTGAAAGTGACATTCCCAGAGGTGCTGGATTGACGGGGCGTGCGGGGCGGCGGCGGTCTGGGAGACGTGGCGTGCATCAGATATCTCAGGGCGTGCGTCTTCAGATGTAGAAAGACCCAAAAGAAGGACGACATGGCCAATTCCAAGACGTTTTCAGCTTGCCACTTCTTGGAGTCCGGGCATGTAAGAGGTCTTCATTTTAGCAAGATCGACATCAGAATCAGCGGAGGAGACAGATGGGTGCATGAGAGATGACACGTGAACAGCCGTGAACAATGCTAATGCTGCCTGAATTCTTGGTTGGGATGACCAAGTCGCTTGGGCCGTGACTCTTGGGCATGGGCCACAGCCATGTGGCCGCATGTGGTCATGGGCATGTGCAGTCTCACAGTACCTGCGGATGTCAGCGAATCTGCTTCTTCCGGTGGTGTTAGACCTTGGAGGAAATCCCACAGTTTCACTCCGGGTGAAGAGCCCTGTGAAAAAGAAAGATGAAGAGCCCAATGATTACACTCAAACCCCAAGTATCTTCATTTTTTCGAGACATGTTGAGACATACTCACACCACTGTCTTTGGAGTGGATGCCGCAAAGGAACCAAGTGGAAAAGGGGCTGCCAACACCATGGCCGATCCGACGTTTCACCGACCGATCCGACGCGCTGACCGATCTGATCCTCATAACCTGTTGAACATGGTCTTGCTACCGCGCAGCGCGGACGGCTATGCGCGGCTGGCTGAAGTTGGGTGATTGATTGGGTGCTTCCATCTTTACATCGCTGGCCGAGTGCCAGACAACTGGAGAAAGACATGCCCTGCAACCCTGCCTGCTTTTCCAAGGCTTCCAAGCAGTCAGCACCGCACGGTTGGTCACGGGGCCACAGGGTCGGCATTCGTGGACAGGTTCGTGGCATTCCAGTCTCAGTCTCCGGGGCCTTCGAGGCCGGACTTGTGGTTGGAAGGATGATATGGAAAGGTGCAGTTCCCGCTAAGCTACTTGAAATGTGCTTTGATTTCCACCCTTTTTCGATCGGGTTTCGGAGGGACATGTAGAACTCATGTAGCCCGTAAATGAGCCTTCGCAGATGGGTAGCAGACACCGCTGGCATGGGTGACGCCAGTCAGTCATGTCTGGCATGGGTGACGTGGCTTGATGTGGCGAACAATGGCGAACATGATCAATCTCGGATCGTATCACGACCGTACACCCTGGAAGACTAAAACGGAACCTGACAACCCCTGGTTGGTAGAGGAAAATAGTCTTCCATGGGACCAGGACGTCAGGGTCCAACCTTAGTTTTCGGGAGCGTAGATGGCCTTTTTGCGTCTTGGTGGGTTGATTCATAGAGGCGAAACACCCCTGTAGACCTCCCTCATCTCCGTCTCAGTCTCGCTCTTTTTCGTGAAGCAATGGGGCGACGGCACGAGCCACGTGGATCCGCGGATCCCACGAAGGTGGCCGAACGGATGGAAGGAACACGCCGAACGTTCGCATGGCGGGTTGTCCGGCACCGGAAAAAGGCGCGATTCCAAGCGATTCCTTACCCAGACCATGGGACTGGAGTATATGACTCCTGGTGACTGACATCAAGCACTCCAATGTAGGTAAATATGGAGTGTTTAGGTGGGATGGGAATCTCTGGTCGCTTTGTTGAGGAGTTGGCACCTTATGGCGAGATCATGCGGCTGGAGCTGCTGTCAAGTCCTCAGCTTGCTGTAGAAGATGGAGTTTAGACGATCAGATGGATTCAGATGGATGTTTCTTCAAGAACATGATTTTGAATCAAGCAGGGTTTGTTACAGAATGATTAGCTTGGAGGGCTCTGAGGTTTGTACTGTCAAGAATGGTGTTTATAATGTGTTGTCTTTTGCAAGACAAATCAAAATGAATCACAGACAAATCGTGCATGTCAGGCAAGACCAAGCGCAAGTAGCAGAGAGCTCAGTGAGATGAATTCAGGAGCAACACAAGGAAACACGGTGAAATACCACTCCTACAAAGTTGTTTCAATCTATCATTTGTCGCGCTCGAAGCTGGAAGCACCCCCTAGTCACCTTTAGTCAAAGCTAGATGAGACCACAGGTACAAATTCTTGTGGCATGTTCGATGGCTTTTCTGCGGATTTCAGACCCCACCACAGAGCACATTCTGGGTGTGTATTCAAGTCGCTTCACGACGACAACCGCCCGCACCAGTGGCTCTCAGAGAGAGGGTAAAAGAAGAATCTATAATCACTCGACTCTATTTTTGGACCCTTTGATACATTGTTCAGTCATGTCTTGCCGTCATTTGCATTTTGCAAGCATTGTTGGATCTATGTTTCGACCTCCTGGAAATGTTTACATGTTCAAGGGGTCCAAAAATAGAGTGATTATGTACTATAAACTATACAATGTGCATGTTCGAGGCAAGACTTAGAGATGAACGCGGCATGAAGTGGATGAAGAAAATCAAAGACGCGTCTAGAATCATTCTATTGCTGGACCGCTTAAAGATTGTTTAATTATATAGTTTTACGTAGTTATGTCACACTTGGCAATTTGCAAGCATCGTTGGATATATTTGTCGACCTCCTTGAAACTGTACATGTTTCAGGTGGCTCAAATTATCCAACGATGCTTGCAATTACAATTTGGACACCTGGACAATGTCCAACTTCAAGGGTGTCGAAAAAAGAGTGAATCTATTTACAATAAACGATCCAATTTGCATGATCGACGCAAAACTTAGAGATGAACTGAGATGAACGCAGCATGATCTGGCTGAATAATATATATATATAGAGAATTGTCTATAATTATTTGTGGACCCTCTTCCAATCTCTTACATATTAGGAATGTCTCTCTGTAATGGATCTATTGTTGGATCCTCTTACAAATTGCTTGCAAACATTGTTGGATATTTTGGCCCCCTTGACAGTGTACGTGTCCAAATTATACTAACTGGCAGCCATTTTGCACAATAAACTATACACTTGCAACCAACTGATGCATGTGCTACCAAAATGAACTATAGAATTGGAAGCTGCTGACGCATATGATGCAATCATGAAATAATTATTGCAGTAAGACACAGACTGTTGAGAGGAGTCGTTTGTTTGCCTTTGTGCTGCAAATGATACCACAATCAGAAATACAGTCAGGGGCATAGATGATGTGTGCAAAACAAGTGTTTTTCCATGTGTTCTCTCACTCCCACTCCTCTCCCAGACACACCTCATGATGCAGAATACGTAAATTTGTATATGTGTTCCCAAGCGAAAATGACCCTATATATATAATATAGAGCTAAATACTATACAGCCAGCAATGAATGCATAGTTAGAGTTTGACACAGTTTAACGCCTCAGAGCCTTCGGTGCGGGCGGATTTTTGTTCTCCGGGAGACCCTCCGATCGCTCCGAACGCCTGGGTGAACGGGTGTATTTGAACCGAAAGCAGGGGGCTTACGGAACGCCAGACGTGACCGGTTTGCCTGGTTTGGTCTCTACACACCCCATGTGGCGATGGGAGGGAGCCTTGAAAATCCGAGCCGGCGAAGCTTTGCGCCAGGTGGTGAGCTACTACGACTCCCGTTGTGCTGCACGCGTGGCAGACGAACTGGGCAGCCGATGCACCTGGGAGACGCCGGGGAGGGCGCAGCCGGGACAGGGCCCAGGTTTGACCAAAGGGTTCGTTCAGTTGCATGGGTTTTAAGATCGAAACGTCATCGAAATGCTCAGGTTGGGTGGCATATTTTGCAAGGAAGGTTCAGTATGTTTGACTTCTGGTGTTGTGAGTCAGTTTTGCGAGACGAGTCGTTTTCAATTTGCATTCTGGAACTTACTCCCTTTTGGACTCAGACCACAATTCTAAACTCTGAAATGCCATGGCAAGCAACAAGACAAGTGGATTCTGAGACCTTGTGCGACAAATTAGATATGCAGGAGCCACAGTATGGGCAATGTACTGTGCGAGCTTCTGGCAAGGCGTGGCATTTGTTCTGCACAGGAGGTGTTTTAAGGCTTCTACTTTGCAAAAAGTGTAGCCAAGGGTCTTGGAGTCTTTTCTTGCAGTGGCTGTGAGTGTGTTGCACATCTCCACTGGATTTCCATCTGAGAGAGGTCGAGCTCCCTGAGAGCACTCTCGGCCAGATCTGCGGTGCATGCAAAGATGAGAGCTCGGATTTGCAACACGGCGCAAGTGGAAGTGGTTTGCGGCGCATGTTTGATGCGGATCAACACACATCCAAGTCATTCCAAGTCCAAATCTAGGTGGACAGGCGAGAAGGACTGGTACCTCCAGCAAGTATGCTTGCAACTTGCAAGAACCTGCTTTGGTACCTTTGAGCCGTGACCAAATTCTTGGGGCAGGTGCCCCTGTGTCCAGCTGCGTCCAGATCAGCGGCATTGTCCACCTCTGAGGTACAGCCTGATCTTCTATGATGTTCGTGCTGCTGAGACCTTTGCGGCAGAGGTACCGATGGGTAGCTGATGGAACACATATTTAAAGAGACACAGACAGACAAATCGGTCACAGGATCGCCCATTTGCTTCGAGGGTTCGTCGGTGTTTCGTTTGGGGCTTCCATCCGACATGACATGCGCTGGTTTTCCCTGCGGAAGCCGTGGGTTTGAACGTATGGAGTGTACAGTCCTGGCAGCCGAAAGCACCTGGCAGGTAGGTTTGATCGTTGACTCCGCGCCGAAAGACAAGGCCCGTGGACTGCCCCATGCTGCTTGAACTTGACCTGTGTGACTTTCCAAACTCGACCTGTGCTCTTGGACGTTTTGTTGGTGCTTTTCTTGTGACCCGTGGTTTCCGAGATCCATGTGTTTCGGACCACTTCCAGGTCTCAAGAAAGGTTCACTTTCCAGCCGGAGGCCCCAAAACCAGCCGGTGGCCTACTTCCTGTCTCGGACCGCTTCCGTCGATCGCGGAGGCCTTCATCGCTCCAGCGAGACGATTGAGGGCGGCTCCCTCGGCCCCGCGCTATTTAAACGATTTGGGCATCTCCCAGGAGCGGCCGAAGGGGGGCGTCGACAGGTCCGACCAGTCCCCGTGTGGAGATCTGCGGTGTCGCGTCGTCGGGTGACGGGTGACTAGACCGGACGGCCGAAGCGTTGGTTGGTGGGGGCATGGGGACGTTGGTTGGTGGTTTTTGGGTTGTTTTCTTCCACTTGTTTTGAGATGTTTGAGGTGGATGAAGCAATCAAGTCAAATCTAAAGGAGACACCAAAACCAGTGTAGGGTGACCATGGGTGACCATATCTACTCAACTAATTCTGTTCAGTTTAGGGGTCAGCAAGGGTCCCAGGTTTCAATGCACTGCAAGTTTTCTTTGTTGATGTGTAGATCCTGCAACAAGGCAACACACTTGCTAGTATTACTAATGTATTACACCAAGCGCTCCCTGTCGTCAACTACATTCAATGACCATGCCACGCGACCTTGACTCGGCTTCTATTCTTCTTTGGGGGCATGTTCCAGTAGAGTGGTCGAGAGCTAGCTCTAGGATCTGGACGGGCTTCGACTCCGACCATGTTGGAGTCATGTTCTTCTACGGCCCACCGTCGGTCTGTCGGGCCGGACTTGCGGGGCGTACGCAGGTGGTGTGGGCTGACCTGGACAGTGGTCTTGAGACCAGAACGACCTTGCGAATCAATCGATTGAACTCCAAGTTGCGCGGCACCTCAGACGGGTGCAGGTCGAGAGTGGCGTGCCATGGCGTGCCTAGAAGGGCTGACACGGCTCTCTCAGCCGTTCCTTCTCATGTCATGGTTCAAAGTCATTTCCCAGGTTCTTGTCGCACCATGTCGCGCCCACGGATGTCTCATACACAACAACCTGCAAGGTGCAACCCAAAGAGATTTGAGATGCTGCTGGAAGAAGCAGGGCTAGCACAGGACAGACCGGTTCGGGTGGTCGATTTGTTTGTCTTTTCTGATGCAGATTGGTCCGCGCCCCAGCCACGAGAGGAGTCTCCAGACACGACTGGGCGTTGAGGGTCCGTCCTTCGCCAGTATGGTCGGATGGTCTCGCGATGACTGGGCCCAGTGGTCTGATGATTCTCTTGGGGTGACTGGCGCCCCAAGGAGACGCGTCTCCAAAAGGTGAAAGCATAAACATACCACCAAACCCTGAGGTCCGACTCGGCCCAGTTTCTTTTTAATACGACCGGTCCTGGGACTCGACCCCACCCCACCACTTGTGCGACCCGCAGTACGTCGACGTCTTCCGCACTTTCACCACGGCGCGTGGCGACTTCGGCACCGCGCTGATGAACATGGCGGGGGCGGGGCGCTCTCGCGGGTGGTGAGGCTGCAAGAGACGAAACCGGTGGCACCGTATGGCACCGTGTGGCAAATCGGAATCCTGTTTGTTCCATTGGTTTTCACTTGCAAAAGGAGACCCCGTTGGTTTTTGCGAGCGAATCCAGGAGAGCGCAGGGTGATTGTATCTGTCGGCCGACAGAAACAAAAAGATCTTTGTAAATGCTCGGTGGAACGCTCAGTCTTGCTCTCGTCTTCTGGATGGGGGGTGGCGTTTGATGTCCAGCTTCGCTTCGCCAGACCTCCACCGTGGGGGTGAAGATGGTGGCGAAATTCTTCCATGGAAGACAGTGGGGAAAGACGATGCCCGTCTCGGCCCAGATGCTCAGCTTCGCCGTTCCGCGTTCGGAACGGCCAGCCGGTTCCGTTTGGTCATAGCATGCTGGTGGCTTCTCCTTGAAGCCAAGGAGCTGGAGAAAACGACAAACAGATGTTTGTCTTTTAACAAGGAGCCAGTGGACTACAGGGAGTTCCCCAAGCACTTGCTAGATGTGAATGATGAAGACTTGTTCGTGTCCTTTTGAGTTATATAAGTAATGTTGATGAAGAGCGTCCGGCAGGGAAGATAGTATAGTAACATCTGTATCAACTCATATATACTCATATTCATATCGCAAGAACCATCTGGCAGCCTGGCACCGTGGCAGTACACACCTTCCCACTGCGGTTCATGAACCGTCTTTCCCCAAATTCCAGCCCTAGAAGAATGAAGTGACAAATGGCACAGAGGTATCTTGATGTTCTGATTTAAAGAGATCGGCTTGCTTGCACCATTTGCGGGCTGCCATGGGGTAGCTGAGACTAAAAGTTCCTTTATGTACTAACCGCTCCCCTCAAAAGAAGAGAGCGGACACCTCACCCCGAAATCGGATCGCCGCGTCGTGCCGGACTTTCATCGGTGTTCTTTCGGTTCCAGAGATGGTTCGGTTCGCCCCAGGTGAGCTTTGCCGTCACACAGGGGCGAGACGAGGCGCGTCGACATGGAGACATGGGATGGGTGCACCAGGGCCTTTTTCGGTTTTGATCGCTTTTGTCTGTTTTCACCACCCGCACTCATCCTATAATATAGGACTGATGCTTTTGCATCTCCAGTGCCTTTGCGTTGGGGTGGATGACGTCATGCGAATCGTGGTCGTGGCTCGGTGTGGGCAAAGCTGCTGCTTTTCCCCAGAAGGATGAGGACTCTCTGGCTGAGTCATGCTTGCACCGGTGGATTAGGAGACACGGCCAAGGAACTGCCAATAAGCCAAGAAGCGAAGATGCACCGGAGCCCACGCAGCGGAGCCGCACCGGTCTCCCAAGCGGGAACCCCGCTCACGCAGCGGCGCGTCGCTAGTGCCACGGAGGGCGGTCGTTGTTGCGGCGGCTTTCGGTTTCGATGAGGGGGTACCATATATTATACATATATATATATACATATATATTCAATATGTTCATGTTTGCTCATGCTTAGATGCACATCACATTAAGTTTATAAACTAAATAGTTAAGTTTATAAACTGTAGGGAGGGGGGAGGCAACTGTGAAGTCTTGTGGAACAAGAGTGGGGGGGGGCTCCCCCCTACCCTACCAAGAGTCTAGTTTATAAACTCAATGGTGAAGTTTATAAACTTGTTGCGCTACTTTGACATCAAGGTTTCAGCTTCTTGCGCCTATCGTTCTCGGTTCGATTCTCTTGCCATGTGGTGCCTTAACAACATTCGAGCAGAAGGAGATGAAATCAATGTGGCATTTAAAAGGCAAGACGTCTAGAGTCTATACACCTCCGGCTCCATCATCTTCCAAGACTTCATCAACATCTTCTCGACCAGTGCCCACGAAACACGATATTTTAGCAAACATCGAAAGTGGTCACCTGGTAAAGAGAATCCGAAAAGAATCCAGTCGGAGATCGGCGCGATCCAGAGGAGTTTGCGTTTGAAGTCGGGGCTGAAAGGAGAGTGGAACGCAAACGCACAGCAGAAGCTTGAGCTATGGCTGGCGAAGCCGGGCAAGCAGCTGCAGCTGCGTGATGAGCCAGACGCAGACAAAGCATCCAGCAAAGAGAGTTCCAGCACAAGCTCCGACAGTTCCAGCACCGAAGAAAACGAGCAAGACCACAACGGCAACAATGAGAATGAGCCCAACAACAACAGTGACGACGACGTTGACGACCCCACCAGTGACAACAACGACAATGACCTTGAGGACCAGACCAGGGATACGGATGAGAACAAGCAAGTCAATGAGCCTCGGAAGAAGAAGCTTCGACTTGCCTTGGACATGGCGTCTTCCCGAGAGCTTGGCAGTCTTCCAGGGTGGCGGCGGTCTAAACAGATTGATTGCTTCAGAGAGAGACCTGGAGAAGTCCATGTACCAGTCTTGCTTGACGACCCCAACTGGGCCACTTGTGAGGAATCAGGTGCGCATTGTGCTCAACAGTGCATGGGATGAGTCCAAAGAACCAGACGTAGTCACCGGAGGTCATTTGCCATGGAAGGCATTCCTGGACATGTTCAGTGTGGCCTGCAACTACGCACCACTTCCGCACATCATGGCTATCTCAAAAAGAGGTGCACCGTCATCATTGCAGGCAAGCATGCTGCATACGTCCGTCACCCTAGCGAGCATGAAGACCAAATCATCCACCGCTTCGCCACCATGGGCATTGAGAAGGACTGGCTGCGGGATGAGAACAAGAAGTTTTATTCTCATTACAAAGAAGGTGTCCGCACTAAATACCCAGGCTTTGACGACAAGGCCGAGCAGGAAGGCCTGCGAGCGAGTAAGCTTATTGCTACAGAAGAAGAAAAAGAATACTTACGCCGAGGAAATACCCATGACAAGTGGCGAGCAGAAGCTGGCCCGGCTTCGCCATGTGCAGCTCCAGCCTCGCCTACTAGCAAAATCTCTCTCAAGGAAGAATTAGCTCGCCCCTGCAGAAAAAGCAACGGGTCACGGGCATCGTTGATGTGGAGGATGAAGAACGCTGCCCACTACATGCGCAGAGCGACTTGTGTGATCCAGACACATCTCCAAAGTTCCCAGACGATGAAGACTTGCAGTATGAGGACCTGAACTTTGCTGCGCCTGATGTTGACGATGATGGCGCTTTCTGATGAGCCGGGTGGGTGTCGAGTTTTGTTCAACGCGGTCTTCTCACTCAACTTTGAGTGGTCATGGACGAACATCTGTGTTCCGGGAAAGTGCTTTCTCATTCGTGTGCAACTTCTGTTCAACAAGCATTTTATTCTTGCGCGCTTGCTTCTTGATGAGTGTGCACTTGCCTCCCTTGTCTGTAGCCTTTGCGCCTTTCATGCCTCATAGCGTAAAGTGTGGCCATGGCAAAGCGGTGGCAATCTTACCGACGCTTGGGGCAAACCTACAGGGACTTGTTCGACAACGACCCTGATCTCTGGAATGTTCTACCTCACCCAGAAGGCCTTTGCTCGAAACGTCGGTGGGAGCGGTCCATATGCCAGGCAAGAGAACGGAGTGCCACGATGGTGGCAACAGATCTCCATGCCATTTCTTCATCCTGAACAAGTGCAAATACTTCCTCCAGGACCACCCGCATTACTTGCCCCTCTTGCCTCAGCCAGACGAAGAGCTTCCAGACGAAGAGTGGCTAGCTTCTGAGATAGTGGTTGCCGCATTGCTGAGTATCGTTTGCCCTCATCACTAGATTGGCGTTGCGCTGGAAAAGAATCCACTGCTTCCGCCTGTGTTCATTGCACTTGTAGCATCATACTGTCAGATTCATCAGCGGTTGTGGCATTGCTTCTGTAAAACAACACTGTAGCTTCTTTCAACTGCTCTGTCGCATCGTTGAATCTTAGCTCTTCCAGTCCTGGTAGGCACCGTTCTTCAAGCAATGGCGGTGTCCATCAAGGCTGGGATTGTACCAAAACGTGGGAAGCTTCGTGCTGTCAAGAAAAGACCAGCTTCGAAAAAGTCTGAAGAATATGAGTCGGCCCAATATGTCCGGGGCAAGAGAGATGTTCCACCTGGTGGCATTCGCATGGACCGAGTAATTTGGAACAGAGAAAGATCACGGACCTGTTGTGCTCCACGGACCAGAAGATCGTTTGGCTGTTGGAGAACGATGGCCTTCTGCCGAAGTGGCATGGGAAGTTGTGCCTCAAGTGCTGGAAAGGAAAGCTCTCCACATGCATGCGCCGGAGCTTACCAAAGTACAAGTGCTCAGCCAAAGCTTGCCGCGCCCACGTGCTTCCTCACCATCTCCATCCGATCTTCGAGAAGGGCCGCACTGACAAGAGGCAACCTTTGCAGGTTCAAGCTGCTGCTCTTCTGCTTCTCCTGGTTCGAGCGTCCACGCCCCAATGTCGAGCGCTGCTTGGGTTGAATCGCAAAATGGTTGAAGGCATGCGCGCGCTTGGAGAAACTCCGGCAGGACTATGTCAAGCAGGAGGAAAAGAACATAACCTTTGGTGACTTGACGTGGAGGCAGACGAGGCAAGCTTTGACCGCACCAATGTCACAAAGGATCTTGCCTACAAAGATGCCGTGAAAAAGGGCAAGTGTATACTTTGGCTGCAATGGAGTGGCATGCTGGCGCGCGGCAAGCCATCTACCCTTCTCTTGTCTCGCCTGAACCCAAAGCTCACAGTGAAACGGGCCCCGGGGCCAGGAGCTATTCATAAGGGAGCCCTTGGCCAAGAAGCACCTCGAGGACCGCAAGGTGGTGTTGCATATGATGTCGTCCACGATGCAGTGGTACGTTGCAAGAAGAAGGTGCAAGGCAAGGGGAAGACGACTACGTGGACAAACCCCCAGTACGTAAGGGTTGCGCATCATCAACTTCCAGGCGGAAAAGTGCTGAAAGTGAAAGCTGGCACACAACACATTGATAGAGCGTGGAAATTTTTGAAAGAACGTCTGCGCCTTAATCAGCATGTCAAAGCCGGTGCACAAGCCATCCGTCGACGAATTCGCGCGGCCCAGTATGGGTACTGGTTTCGGGGCCAAGACATGTGGCATCACACTGCCAACTTGGTTGCAGCCACAATGTCTAATTATGCGCACGCAAAGTGAGTAGCTGCCGCGGGGTCAAAAAAATCATCTGTCATCTGCATTCTCATGAACTGTCCTCTGCATCTGTCATGCATCTGCCTCACACACAACCATCTGAAACATGCACAGAAAGGTCCGAAACATGCGCAGAAAGGTGGGTATAGGATGGGGGGGGGGATATATATATGCCAGCACCCTCCAACAGGTCTCCTTTGGAGGGTTGTTAGGCCCTAGCAGGCTTCAATTGGTGACCTGTTGGAGGGTGCTGGTATGTATACTATGTTGTTCTTCCCAAAGAAAGGCCCAGAGGTTTGAGCACTTTGAACTTTGTCTGCTGCAGGCACAGCGTTTCACGCTTTGAATGTTTTTAGATCCTTTTTGCATGACTGAACTTTACAGTGGGTACATGCTGCGTACATATACTAAATACACTTCAAGCAAGACACTTGGCCAGACTGCGCCTACGCTTTTACACACCAAGATCCGGGCGTTTTTTGCAATTTATCAAAATTATTGACAGCACGACAGTGTGCAGGTGCTTGCAAAATATCCGATGCAGGCAGGGCAGGGTCAAGTGGAAAGAGTTCGTGAAACGGGGTCAGTCTTCCTCGCAATGCCCTGCCAGAAGACATTGCACATATTCAAACTTGAAAGGATTGGGCACTAAATCAATCCTTAATAATCTTAATAGCTGCCTTCTCTACTACATATAGATCTTTGTCGCTTTGTTTTTCTTTTGTTTCCTTTTTTACTTGTGGCTGAATTGCTGAGAGAACGTACACGAACGTAGTTTGTGCTTTCCAGGACTGCCAACTAGGCGTTGCGACTCGAGCCAGCAAGGTCGCGAGCCCAGCAAATGCGAGACAGGTGACGAGCAAAACTGGTGACAAGTGTGTATGTTTGCTCCCAGAACATTGATATTCTGCAAGTGTGGCGTCCAAAATGTCTGAAGGAAAGAGAACGGCTTGGACTTTTGGGATAATCTTTCGACTCGTCGAATTCTTGGCGTCCAGGCCGAGCCACTGCAGGTGGGGTTTGGCAAAGCAGGGTGGGGTTGGGTGGAAATTATAGAAACTGAAATATATATATGTATATTATATTTTATATATACATATATTATATAATGAAAATTATTATATATAAGTTTCTTGAACGCAAAATGTTCTCAATAGTTAATAAAAGTGGCTAAGCCTTAGCCTATAACATCCCTTAAACAATTGAACAAATATCAAATTGTGTTCTCAGCTCTTACAACAACAGTCGGCTTGGTTCAGAACTTGGTGTTTTCTTGGCACCGGAAATTGGAATGGGTCAAGATGACGGATTTTCTGAAATGTGTTGAAGTCCTGATGATCATGTAGACTCTTGATGACTAAAGTCTCTTCATTTGGATCTTATAAGAAGTATATAACCTCGTCATATAAGTTTCAAATCGAATCAAGAAGAATCAAGAGTCAACGTGAATTGCTCAGAGATTTCCCCATGTGTCAGGGTGATCGATCGAAACGATGTCGATGTTGATGTCACACGGGTCCAGCGTCGTGACTGACACACCGTTGAACGGTGTGAAACGGTCGGTTTCAAGTGTTAAAGCAGTGATCATTCCATATCATTCCCTAACACTCCATGCTTTCAAAAAACGGGCTTTCAAGATGACCTATTTACTGATCAGCCCTCTGAAATCTCCTTTTGAACCGAGTGTTGATCTACTGATAATACCTTCTTTTTGAGATGCTGTTGCATCGAACATGCTTCTGTTTGACGAGTCGATGGTCAATCCCGTCTGTGGATGAGAAAGAGTCTTGATGTTCTTGTCCAGTTCCTGGACACCAAATCCAGTTCCTGCTCCTCCAGTCTCTTTCTTCTGAAGTACGGGCAGCAAGACGGCAAGACGCATGGTACGTGTGTCCGTTCGTCAACCTGTGACAGTCGGTAAACTAAAAACATCACTATTTTGGAGGCCTGGAACCTCACCATCATCCACTGTTACTCGTAAGAGCACAAGCTAGTACACAAGCTATATGAGCATGGATTTACCGACATAAAGAATAGCTTGGAGGTGGCCGCATGTTTTTCCCAAAAAGTCGTGGCCCCGCTAAACGAGGTAGGGGTAATTCTTTGAGACGAGGTAGTATGCTGCTGTATGCGTCCAAACAATGTCAAAACGTCGAAAAACTTGGAAAGCGAGATCCAGACAAGCACCAATATCAATTTCATTTAAACTGGATGGGGAAATGCGACCATGACCTTTATAGTATTAAAAATCGTCGCTCATCTCACGGGGGTGGAGCAAAGCGAACGAAGCAAGACGTGGTGAAGGGGATCCAGTCGGGTGTGGCATGTACTGAACCGTGGCCCGTCAGGTGATGTTCACATCCGTGGAGAATGGTTCTGAGGCCAGCACCGAGGCCAGCACCGGTTGGCCAACGGGTCGCGAGATCGGCCACGCCGTGGGAGTTCGGGTGGGGTTCGGGGGTGGCGAATTGGATCCTCAGATTCGCCAAGATCCGAACAGATCCGGTGTGTTTGGAGGTTTTTCGGGTGGTTCTTCTTTAAGCGGACAACCCCCACCCATCTTCCTCCTTGATTTAGAAGTGAGATGTGTTCTTCTCATTTTTTGGGTGGATTTGTGTAAAAAGAAACGAATTGTGTGATGGGACGCTTAAGTCCTGTGAGTGGAACGTGAGAACGGGAGAAAACCTCTAATGTTCAGGTCCAAGTTAGACCTCTTTGGTTGAACCCCAGGTAAGACCTTCGTAACCGACAGAGGAAGGTCTTCCGCCAAGCGACAGGGAGATTGAAGCTGGCCAAGAGAGACGAACAGTATAAACAGTGCTCAAAAGCATCGACATCATCTAGCAAGTCTAGCAAGAGAATCAATTGAAAAGAGATAATTCTACTGTGGATGCTAACTGATCGAACATGCTGTATTTCCCAGGGCGCCCCATCGTGTTTTTGTTCAAACACCTTGTGGGCGTGAAAAGGGCCTACTGCCAATCGAATCGTTGGTGTATTTGTTGGTCGAATATGGTCGAACCATTCTCCAACCTATGTCCAAGAGCAGTACCCCTCTCCATGGGGCTGACCTATTGACAATTGGGGTGGTTGACACAGTGTCAATGTAGGTAAATCTCTACTAGGAACAAGGACGCGGTCGTTCGGTGGAGGCCATCGCTAGGGTGGAGGCCATCGCTACTAGTAACCAGAAGCTACTAGTAGCTAGAAGCTTCCTTGGGTATCGTTCCACTGGGAATCATTTAGTAACAAGCAGCTTTTAGTATGTCTTTGAAGCTTCCTTCTTAGTAACCCCTTACTACTAGTAGTGCTTTCTTCAAGATGTCCTGTTTGTTGTCCATCCGAAGTCCAAGAGCAGCGTCCTCGTACCACCAGAGTGTTTTGGGCGACGTGTGTCGGTGCGTCGGTGCCTCGTCCACGTGCAGATCCAGAGTTCCCAGACACCTTTTGTGTGCAAATGGCCTACATTTGGTGCTTCTTAGTCTCATTCCTCTTTCCTGAAAAGTATACCGTGGTTTCAGAGGTTAGGCACACACAGACCTCAAGATGTACCGAAAAGAAAGACCACCTGTTTGGGATGTTGCCATTCACTCCAAAACCACCTGCTCAATCCTGTTTTCCAGTCCGTTCACCGCGAGGTGAGCGATGAGGGCGAGTCAGATGGCAGCTCTTGCGGCTCCACAGGCGGACCAGTGACCTGTGAGTGCTGTCGCCCCTGCTGCGCCCTGCGTCACCCTGATTCATTCGTGCCTAGGCGGACCAGTCAGACTGAGCTGAGAAGGCAAGTTTTCGCTTCTTCCGAAGTGCCGGGGTAGTACATAATAGGCTACCGTGCCACCAGGTTTTGAGCGGCTTACCGTGGCAACCTTGCACGAAAGGGCTTTCATCGCCCCCGCACAGGAATCGGACCGGAGGGATCAGTGCATGCGGCAGGTAGACTTGACAGATCTTGTTAGATGGCAAAGATTAGTTTCCACGGTAAGACTTGTGCCATTGCTTATGGTTGCTAGTGCTGCATTCCGTAAGGACCAATCCAAAAATGGTCTCTGTAAGATCTGTAAGTGTCATGCTGTCATGCTAATCGCCTTCAGAGGTTTACGTGGCAATAGGATTTCCACCCATGCGCGAAATCCAACAAATGAAAACACCAGAGGATGCAAAAAGTCTCCAAAAACGTATCGGCTTTCATCGTGTTTCCAAGAACCAACTCTGCTTGGTCACCACATGAACGCCACCTAAAACGAAGAAAAACCTGAGCGAAAACAGCTACCATGTAGAGTCGACAAGTCACCATCATTGGGTGCTGCAGGTGTACAGGTCAACGAAATAGAATGTAAGCAAAGACATGGACCAGGAAGCTGGGCCTGGGGCGCCTTATGTTATGTATACTGTATACACGATCCGATCTCGCACCGAGAGCTCACATGTCCGGTCACATTCCGATGAAGTGGGTCCTTTTAAAAGGTGCCCATCATCGATGGCGTTTCCTGAGATTAGGAGATCCTAAATGCCAAAAGCGCTGCTCTTGTTGCAACATAGACACTCCGCCAGCTTGCAACATAGACACCACCTGGCACCTGGCCTCCATCCAAATACAAAAAGAAAGCATTTTCCCGTTTCACAGCTGTTGGCCGTGCCGTCCCAGTGTTTAAACCGTACAGCAACCTTCCCTCCAGGCAAAAGACAGCTTGAAGTTGGTGATCCCAAGAGATCCCAAGGTTGATAAAGCTTGAAGCAAAATGGATGAAGTCTCATGATTCTCAGCCGCGAAGCACTGATGGTCTGTAAGACTTATTGGTCCTGTGCCGTCAGCGGGCAACCCTTTGCCTATTTGTGTAAGTTCAGCTGCAGATACGATGCGGCATCTGAGCTTACCTGTAAATGTGCAATTTGTAACTTTCCAAGCAACAGCCTGGGTAGCATGAGGAGTGCAACCCATGGCATTGGCAGGTTGCTGTGAAGCGGCTTAACTGGCTAAGTTCTGCTGGAGGCCAAGACAAAATCACTTGAAGAGAAGCCTACATAGATCATGTTTTCCCTCACGAACTTGGGTCAGCTTTGAGTAGTCGCTTCGAATTCAGGATTTTCCCCAGCAGGGGTTGTGAAACCATCACCTCCAAACAGATCCACGATCCGGTCCATCTCCGGCGCCGAGCGGTTTTGGCTCGGACGGTCGGGTGTGGTGTGTTTGAGTTGTGAAAGAAGGGAAACCAGAGAAAGTCTGGTGCCACTGCTGCCAGCAAGTCACTTTTGGAGGGTGGCTTAGCAAAACGGTGGGCGGGACCTGGCCCGCGTTCGGACACTTCCCACCGCGGCGCGGTGTGAGGTTTGCGGTGGGCGGGACCGACGCGGGACCGAGAGGTCGGCTCCAGCTCCAAAGAGACGGAAGTTGCAGGTGATTGTAGAGGGCTTCAGAAGGGTTCTACTTTCTGCTGCAAAAATTGCAGAAGGCTTGAGGTTCGACGAAGACTTCTTGTTCAAGAGGATGTGGTGGATTCTTGTTTGAATGCCTCGTATCCTCGAGTTGTGCATCCGAATAATCGATTACTTCTTGGTCAGCTGAGAATGTGAACCCTTTCTGTGGGTGGTTTGTGGGTGAGATGGATGACAGCCACGGCGTCCGTGTCAGTTGTTTCTTTGGTCGGTCAACTGTTGTTACTCTCACACCGAAGAGCGTGTTGTTTTACAATGGTTTACATGTGTTTTTTAGTACCTGTTTTATCCTTTCGCATGTCTCATAGAGAAAAAACCATGGAAAAAAAACAGCACTTGCTCAGAACTTCCAGATTTGCTCGTGTACCAGGGGGTGCTCCGTTGATGGAACCATCTCTCTCTGTTGGGTTCGAAGGATCCGAATCCACTGGACGGTGTGAACGCATCGTTGTTCCCATCGTCCTCTCATCGTCTCTCCAGATGACGGGTCGGACCAGGTGGCGCGTGGAGCCCCTTACGAGTTGGGAAGAACTGACTATCACCCAGGCCAATTGGCTCAAGGCGAAGCCGTTTCACCGGGGACAAACACCTCGGACCAGCCCCGCAGAGTTCGAGAGCCCACGACTCGTGGGCCTTTTGAAGTGAAGGGATCGAAGTTGAACGGATGGAACATGAAGGAACCAAGGAACCAGGATGAACCAGGAAAGGTGAAGCACTTCACAGGAGATTTTGGCAGGATTGTGGCAGGTCTGTCATGTTCTGTGTTGTTCCAACTTGAGTGAGAAGATCCCTTGCAGGCGTTTTCCAGCCATGGAAGGATCAGCCGAATCCTCCAAGCGCCCTTTGCTTGAGCAAGATGAGGTGCACACATGTGCACACGATTCCCGTGGTTCACACGATTCCCCGGTGGCGTTGGCGTTGACTTCATGCTGTAAAAATAACGGGCAAACCTACTCTTATGATCATGTTAACCATGAAAAGCATAACTGTAATGGTGTTGCCAAATAGTTGTTTTAAAAAAACAAAAAAAAAACTAAGGGTGCCGTTCCTCCATCTCCTTTTTTGCCAAATAGAGTGCCGAGCCAAATTGCCCCACACCGGTAGGACCCCAATCACGTGGCCCTTCCTCGAGGTGCGAGTCAGGGTCGGATTCGGTCGGACAGTTCCAGTCGGTGGGTGGACCAAGGATGGAACCTGATGGCATGGACCAGACTGGAAGACGATTTTCTGAATACAACCCGACGTGGTGAACTCAGGTTCCAGCTCTTAAATTTACAAACTGGTTTTCCCTGGAAGTCCAGTTTGACTTTTTTGACCGACTGAAGTTTGCAGGAGATTCCTTAACTCGGGTTAGCGAGTAACATTCGAATTTTTATGTTATTTGACTGACTCCCAGGGTTTTGGGGGTCAAGTCATGTCTTCCATCGTCTTCCTACATCAGTGATTTTCTGAAAAAGTGCAGCCTCTGAAAGCTGGATTATGCTGATGTTGCTGGAGGTACCAAACCACCCAAAAGAAAAGCAGGACAAGGGTGTGTGTGGCCCCTGAAGGCAGGTGAACAATCCAGAGAAGTTGCTTCCAAGAGTTTTCTAATGTTGTTTACAACCCGCATCTAAATCGGTATGTGCACTCAGACTTGCAAAGGGTTGCAACAGAAACATCAGAAACAAACTCTAACAGTAGAAGAGGACTTGTCGTCCATCGCTTCGTGATCGTACAATCATACATAGAATCACACTAGAATCAGACGGATAATTCAAGTATATAAGATTAGATAAGTCGAAACATTTCAGACGGGTACGGTGACTGGTACAGGTTTCAGGGGTCAATGTAGGTAAACATGCCAGTGCCATGGAGTGTCTGGGGTACATCTTCCAGTGAAGTGTGGATTCAATGAGTGAAGGTCAGGGCTTTTAAAGCCGGGAACCAGGTCACGGCTTTTCAGCTGGACACCTGACTTGCACAGTCCTACCACGAGTTGATCGGGATCGTGGCGAAAGCTCAGCACTTTTGGAGGAGCAGCATCCCATCTTTGGCTGGAGAGAGACGTCTTTTGTCCCTCCCGGTCGATGGCGAAGAATCCAACAACATGTTGTGACTCCAAGTACTCCGGTCGCCCGCTTCGCGAAGTCCAAGCGACGATGATTGGACCGATGTGTTCGCGAGGTCACCGAGTCGGACACACTCAAAAAGGGCAAAAACCTCGTAGCTTCGGAAGGGGATGGCAATGAGTACACGAGCCCCAAACGTATATAGAATACAAGAGAGCAGTTTTATAGTATGTCGTGATATCAAATCACTGGAAGTGTCTTCCTCGCGATGTTCGGCCCAGAACGGTTTAAAAGACATCACACTGACGCCGACATCGTCATGAAAACATGGGGGGGACGCCGGACACAGGATGGAGCCGTTGTCTTTCCTTCAAGTGGAGCCGGCCGCATCCACCCGGGCGGGCACTCGGGGCATGGCATGGCACGATATTCCTTCCGCGGAACTGATGGACCATCGGAGCATCTCTCGGCATCCGGGTGTGGAAAACAACTAGGAAAATGACAATCTCGGGGATTACATGGGGTTAATATAATGCTATAAAACCTTCTAAGAATCTGTGGGACACCGTGATAGTGGAAACTGCTGTGACGGGAATCTTTTGGCTGATCCACCGTCAATTCATATCGTTGAAACTCCTGCATCCCAGTTCTGGACACCGTGATCATCCGTGATCCGCTCCATCCTACCGCTGCGAGGACAGCGGACACCAAGTGAGTCCTCAAGGAGATTGGTTGCGTTGGTGTGTGTGTTTTTGCTGAGTCCGTGTAAACGGGCTGAGTCCAAAGACGTGTTTCTCAGACTAGTTTGTTCGTGCACATGTACCTACTCGGGCTCGTCGGGCACAGCAGGCGAGCGGGCGCATCGCTAGTGGTCCAGTTGGAATTCACACCGGAGCTTAGCTTGAGAAAGTAAGCTGGAGAAGCTTACCAAGCCTTAGGGGCATCAAAAGACAGTTGAGGAACCTGGTTTGGATCAGGGTGAGTTTGGATGTTTCACTATGAATTCACGTGCTAAGCCGTCCCTTCTGTGGAAGGCTTTTGTCCCGGTTCGACAGCTAAATCCAAGTGAATCCGAACTTCTGGTTCCGACTCATTTGGGCGATGATGTGGCCACGGATGGCCACGGATGTTCATGCCAGTTCCGATGTTCGGATGACCATCGGATCGGGGAAAGAACTTCCACCTGGCGACCGACCGGGCCGCAGGACGAGAGCCACCTCCAAGTAGTCTTCCCACTGGTGGAGTGCTTCACTTGTTCGCAGAGGCAAGGGAACACTGCAGCTGAGTGACTTGTGTCAGTTGAATCAACCTTCTTGCTAGTTCACCTTGATTCCAAGTCCAAGTCTTAGACTAGGCCATTGCTACTAGATTGGAGGCCATTGCTATTGGGTTGGAGGCCATCGCTCTTACTGTAGGTTGGAGGCCATCGCTTTTAGGTTGGAGGTCATCGCTATTAGCTTGGAGGCCATCGCTATTAGGTTCGAGGGCATTGTTATTAGGCTGGAGGCCATCGCTAGTAGGTTGGAGGCCATCGCTAGTAGGTTGGACTGGAGGCCATTGCTGTTAGGCTGGAGGCTGTTGCTATAGATGCTATAGTGTTGTCTTAAACTTCTTTCAATGCGCAATCCGCTCCAGGGCGCAGAAAGAAGAGACGCGCTAAATCCACCAGAGAGAGCGCATGAATCGCAACTTGTTTGCACAGACGAAAACTTGTTTGCTACTTTTTGTTCTAGGTGTGATTCGGACACACTTCGACTTCCGATGTGATTCGGAGGATGGTTTTTTGCTGGCTTCGACGTCACTCTGGGTCGAGTCCAGAGTTGCTTCTCCGGCTTTGCACATTCGGTTGATGGCTCTTTTTTCTGCAGGATCACCCAGGATCCATGTTCGTCACATCCGTCCACGTCGTGACACCCGACATGAGGCGGCCAAGTGCATCGAGTGGAGAATCCGTGGTCATCGAGATGCACAGCATGCCGGAGGTGCTAAAGACTCACCCGCTGAGAGACCGAGTGCCCTCTATGTTGGACCAAAAAAACAACCACCCAAATATATACCAAAATATGGTCCTGACATGGGCTCTAGGCTGTCATTGATGTCTTCGCGTCCAATGGTTGTCAGGCTGTGAGATAGCTTTGAGCGGTTGTATCCCATCACTGAAGGGCACAGACTATAGGACCACTCACAAAAACAGCCCATCTTGCCGTACCCAGAAAGCCCAGAACAGGACACAAGAGTACATCTCTCCACCTTGCCATCCTTTTGCGGTCACCCCCCATGATGATAGCTATGTCATTACTTTTTCTTCCCGGCAGCTTGTGGTAAGACGCCGTTGCGCCAGGAGGGCTCCAGAGAACTTTTGCCGGTGGTACACCCGGCCCACTTGGTAGCTTAACCCGGCCATGCGTGGCCGGGCTTGGAAGGGTTGGAGGTCGGAGGACTGGGTAGGACCTACCTACGACGTGCCATGCTACGGCAAAAAAGAACATGTTATGGAATTTACTGGAAACCTTTGGGGCCGTGAACGGTGGTTTTGTGTTCTTCTTTGCCCCGTGTTGCGTAGAACTGCGTCATGTTTCTTTTGCTTCTAAAAGATCGCTAGAGCGGCCTCTTCAGCAAGTTCAATTCGCTGTTCCAGGTGGCGGGCATGTCGGGAGCCGCTACAAGACAAGGTGACGACAGGTGGGGTCCACATGAGCTCGACTTGACTTGCCCGACTTCAACCGGATGAATTCATCGTCGCAACTATTGATCAGCATCTCAACATATGATACTGATGAACAAGGGCAAAACGATTGACCATGAACGAACTCAGGTGGCCTCATTTGTTAAGCGTTAAACTATGGATATGGAAATAGAAAGAAATATATATAAGTCCTCATATTATTAATATGACCTGGGTGGTGAAACCTCAGATATGAAACTCATGCTCAACCCTACTCCAGATCTGGATCTCACCGTCTGACAGAGACTCGTGCCTCTTCCGCCGCCGTCGTTCGATAACGCCCGTCGTTCACAGGACGTGCTTCATTTGCCTCCAGGCACCGCGGGACCCGCGGTTCCGGCCATGCACCGGGCATGGTTCGTGGTCTTTTTGTGAGGCCACCGGTCAAGTGGGTGTGTTTTTGGGTGGAGGGAGTGTCACTAGGGAGTGGGTTCTTGTTTCTTACGTCTGTTTGCTACTAAGCTTGCGGAACAAGTGGGAGGAAGCTCATCCGGAAATGAAGTGGGTCTCAAAGTAATTGCGTAGATCTCTCAACTGGTTGGGGGATTCATTGACTCTACTTCCAACTGCTAAGTGCACTTCATATGGGCCCCGCATTCCGTATGTAATCCTATTGCAAAGGTTACCACCACTGTATACCCTAGTACATAACTATATAAATATTCGAACATATTCCAACCACAAATTGATTGAATAGCCGTTACTGAAGAACCATTTGTTGTGCTAAGGATTTTACACTACAAAACCAGCTCAACCATTTTCAAACTGGTCAGGCTAGGTACAGTCCAAAGACTATATTTTGCACCACCAAAGTAAAGAAACTTCCTTTTTGGGTCACCTAAAGAAAAGCTCTAAATAGTCTTGTGCTAGTCTTTATTGAGCCTCATCCGCGTGAATTCAATGATCAGATCTACTGATCTTCCTGTTGCTCCTTTTGTTGCACCACGCCTGTCGACAGCACGCTTGGAGGATGGCGAGAAGGACAACCCCTTGGTCTCATGTTGCTCAACCTGTTACGCCTGTGCGCCGCAAGAAAGACAAAACACCTGTATTTCCATGCAGAGCTGTGTTCTCAGCCAATCGGAACAGTCACGAATCATGACGAAATCATCGAAGTATCATGCCTATGGTCAGATATGGTCAGATATGGCCAGCTGTTCAGAGTATTTCATGTCTTGTTCTGCACCAAAAAACCGTTTGTGAACGAGGCACGTCCATCCACGTCGTGTTCCACGCCACCCGTGGTGGTCTCCACGTCCGTCCTTCGTCCACCGCTTCGCGGGGTCTGACACCGACAGGTTGGGAAACAACATCCCCAGACACTCCATGTTTATAATTCTTTATATATATATATACAGACTACTATGCTATAAACATAACCTCTATATATATACACTTTTTGTGACACTTTTACTTGCCTACATTGGAGTCTTTGCTTGAAAGGGAACGTCCTTTGCATTACATCACTGGGGCAAATGTTTGTCTTTCGACTTCGAGGGTTGGGAGAGTTGACCCGGGGTCATTGTAAATAGTCCTGTCCCATCGGTGGGTTCCAGGTACACACCGACGTTGCTGGCGAGAGTGGCGGAACAATCAGCATCGTACAGCCCTGCGGTCCCATTTGCTCGGGTGCGCGGATCCGCGGGGGGAAGGGGCTCGACAGCACCGTTGGGTGCCTGTCAAAGGCTTCCAACTGCCACTGATTCAAGATTCTTTACGGAACAACAACTGTTTTGCCAAGGATTTGACACAACAAAACCAGCTGTGAATCGTTTCCAAACTCGGTGACAACACAACAACAAGCTGTGTTTTCAGATCGTTTGTGTTTGTCGTGTGACGAGACCGTCGCGTTCGTCGGACGTGGGTTCGATGGATCAACACCTGGAGCCCAATAAATCGGGATCCGCGAACGAATGAGAACGACACGTAGTTTATAGCACTGTAGGTCGTGCCCGCGTGTATCCTGGTCTTGAAAATCAGAGCCATTTGTGTGTCTTTACTGTAACGTGTATGATGTTTCCATATGTTTCCGCCATCTTCCGGAACGGCTGTTGGGTCGCTTGTGACGGCTTCTTCAACACGGTCGGGTGTTCGTTTCTCCAAAAATTGGGGGGACCTTTGGGGTAAGCCTTTGGGTATCCTGAGGTTCCGGTTCCGGTGCTTTTTCAAAACCATGTGGACGACGTTAAACGTCGGGTGTGTGGAGATCCCTCAGGGTGGGTGCACCGCACTGATGGTGCTGGTTCTGAATCCATGGCAGTAGCCGAATCCAAGAGAATCCAGCCATTCCCTTACTGTATATTCCCTATATAACAAAAAACTCGCACCAGTCTGAAGAATTGCACTTGGTAGGAAGATTCTGTTTAGCTCTTAAAACAGCTCTAGCTTGATGGTTCCTTTTGTTCACGCTTCACCGGAACCAAAGGCCTTCAGTGAAGTCTGAATCTATTTGTTCTTGGTAAGAAGTGCAGGTATGACATGTCTGGCTTTATCTCTTCCAAACCTTGCTTCAGTGGTTTTTCCGGGGCCAGCAGGCCGCGTCGTTCTGCCAGGCTTCGCATGCAGACCAATCACATGTTGCGGTGCACCATTTGCAAATCCGGCACAGCGATGGTGGAGGGCGAAGAGGCACTGGTTTTCCACCGGGGAGTCGGTGGGTGTGATCCGCAATAAGCCTGGAAGAAGCAGCCTGGTGTGCGGATCCTGCCATGTTTGTGGGGTCGACGTTTAGGGAAGAACTTCCCCATCTTCGCTGACTTCGCCTCTTCGTTGACTTGTTCGACTTCAAGGGTCCCCGGACGAGACGACGGTCGCGTTGCGATGGACATGTGAGACATGGGCGGGGGCGAGCGAGCCGCTGGCAAGGGCGCCCGCCCCCAAGCGGCGTGAAACCGAATGATTGCGAGGTAAACATGGTCAACAACCCATGGCAGATGTTTCTGGGGAACCATGTTAGCTTTACAAAAGGTGGCTTGTTTGACGCGTGCGTGACACGGGTGCCACAGAAGACCTGGCAAAAACCCTTGGTCAACTCAAGCCGCAGACCAGGGCCCAAGCGGCCATGAGGGGCCTGGAAGCGAAGAAAAAGGTGGGCCATGTCCCCTCACACCGATGTTGAATGTGTTGGACTCATGATTCAATATGCTTCAATAGGCGGAGGGGGTTGCATGTTTTTATGGTGGAAGGATCTACAGAATTGGATGATTTGGATGATTTACTCGCTTTTCTTTTGTATCCAAACAGGTTGGCTTGGGCAAAACCAGCCCAAATCCACACGCTTCCTTTCAGCGAACTCGACGGCAGAACGGCCTATCTTGGATGAACGAGCTGATGTGTGGAGGGGAACCGAGCATGGTGCCCCAGTTGCGCTCCGCTACAGAACTGATGAAGCGGTACAGTTAAGAACTGGAAACCGCCCCCCCAAAAATGAGCTCAGTGGCTACTTGGCTACTGCTGAGTCCGAGATCTGATTTCTTGGGGGGATGTAGTGGCTACGTGCACAGTCCAGGTGATTGATGTCCAGAAGGTGTGAGCCTGGATCACAGTCATAGTCGATTGAGTTTGATCGTTTGACAGTTTCATCTACACACCTTTCGTTCTTTGCTGCCATTTGGAAGGTATGATATCCTAGACACTCCATGTGGTATCGTATTCTCATGGCCGGCTCCGAACTCGGAGCGCAGAGCGACAAGTTTACCAAACCCATCCAAACCCTACCAAAGCCTCACTCATCCAATCTAGTGCCGAATGAAACTGACTCAAAAACATCAGCCACAGCTATGAGCATAGTATTTTTTGTCTTTGTTGCTGATTCAAACCAGCCTCAACCAATGGTTTCGTGAAGATAAAGAAAGGAAGAGCAGTCCGGAGGCCAATTTTCAAGCATGTAGCACGATTCAGCGGTGACCGTCAGGACAACATTTGGTCAAAAGCTGGAGTTGTGGTCCACCATTGTAGCGAAAGACATCGAAAGACCTGGAGCGTCGGTAGGTGAACTGCTCGGTCTCCTGATGTCTCCTGGCTTTGACCCAGCCATTTGCGCTGTGGCTTGAAACTCTATTCTTTCAGCACCGATGGTTCGCCGGCTGCCGGGGACGAGGCCAGGTTCGGCCAGTCGCCAGTTCGGCCAGGTGAAAACAGCTTGCTGGGACGGCTAGTGGCACTGGGCAATCGCAGGGAAGATTCGGACGAGGTGGGAGCCGTTCCAAAGCGATATCTTGATATATCTTGTGTGCACCAGTCGTTTTCTTGAGGCACGGATCATCCACCCAACATCACTCACATTCAGTGGTGCAAGATGGTGCCCATTGAAACGAGTAAAAATGGATTGGGATCATCCACCCAGAGAGGTGGGATCATCCACCCAGATGAGTGGGATCATCCACCCACAAAGGTCAATCTTCCACAAGAAGCACCACAGATTTGGGCTCCACAAGGTGACCTTCTGAGGCTCCACAAGGTCACCACTTCGGATGAAAATCACCTCCCCGGAACCTCGCACGCCGCGCGAAGACGGAGGATCCGGAGGCACAGCTGGAGGACTTGATTGATACGTGCGGTCACCCGGCGGGGAGGACCGGGAGGACGAACAGGGCGCCTGGAGGCCGCGAAGGGGAGGCTTTCTAGCCGCGGAAACGCCATCTGAATCCCTCTTGATCTCCAGTTTCCTTGACGAAGTAGAACATGCAGAACTTTTTGAAGCACTTGTGGACATCCTTCAAAAAGTTGTTGGAATGAAAAAAACACGCCACCCCACCCCAAAATCACCCCAAAATCCAGAGTCCACCCCAAAATGTGTGCTATGATTCGGTGCTGCTGCTTAGCCAACACGCACCATGGCTCCTGCCGGTGTTCGAGGCGCACGTGTGTGGCGCTGGTCATTTACCTGGGCATGGTGCCTCGCCCCGGGGGACATCGGAAAAACAAGAGAAGTCCTCGATGAGTTGGTGGTCGGCGACTGCAGATTTAGGCAGATGTTTGATGATTTACATGTATATATATATATATATGCTTGCAGACAGAGAGATACAATAAATATCAATAAATATATCAGTTATAATAGAATAGATTAGAATAGTTTATATGATGTGTCGTCCCTCTTCTTCCCGATTGAACTGGGGTGCTTTGAATCTGCCCCCTCTGACAACTCTGGCGTCTTCGCACAGCTCATCGTCGCCATCATCATCGCTTGCTTGCTGATCGTCACGCAGGGAGCTCGCCTGGCGCTTTAGCAGTTTCAGCATGTCTCATCATTGGTTCTGCGTTGCTTGCAGTCTCACACCATCAAAGTCCGCTTGAGAAGTGCTTGAGAATCTAGAGACCAGTTAGTGAAGAGTGGCTTGTGCAATTCAGTGAACTTCTGAATTTGGAACTTCGGCTGAGCAACGCACAAAGTCGAGACATACAGGACACGATGGACAAACATTCCGCGCATCTCAAGTATTCATTGCACACTCACACTTTTCCACAAGTCCGGTCCAACTAATCAGGAACGAAATTTGGAACCCCTTTTTCATGAATGATTTCAGGGCTCTGCTTGATCTTCAGTTCCAAATTCCAAACCACGGGACCATGCTTCCTCCACGACCCCCCTCCAGAAAAAGAACCTGCTTCCGTTCTCGCTCCGGAGACCCGTCTCCTCGATCGGCACCCGTTCGCTCCGTCTCCTCGGCCAGTTCTGGGCTGGAGACGTGGTGTTGTGTTGCATCATTGCGCTCTACGAACTCTCCGTCCTGCAGGTCCCGCCGTCGTTCGCGCGCGGGTGACGACCGGGGTCACCAGGGTCACGGTGGGATTTGGCGCAACGGTGGTCGTTTGGGGGAGAGTTTGGGGACGTCGTGTTCGGGTGTTCAGGACCATTTTTAAATAGATACCCCGCTGAAAACTAACATGGACCCTGAAAACCACTGATTTGTAAAGGAAACCAGTCTTTCAGGGTGCCATTCTCAGGGTCCATGTTTGTTTTCGGGAGTGTAAATGACTCAGACACGACTCCGTTGGCAAAAGAAGTTCAGAAGCACAACTGAATGAGTGTGTATTTTAATAGGGAGACCCCCAACTCTAATAGGTTCGTTTTGGTCTCTTTCCCTCCGCATTCCCTTCTTCCGGGTCGAAGGCCCCTTGGATCGCCTGGTGCGACCAAGCAATCTGATGGGTGAAGGGCAAAGGAAATGCGTACTGTACGAGCTCCGAGCTACCCTTCTAAAAGATCCTTGGCACATCCTTACTACCCCTCATAGCTTAGCAGTTGGTCGTTTGTACACTCAAGAATATATTGATATAGGCTATAGGTTTGAGGGTCTGGATCCTTAGGGTACATCTCAGCACAACCTCGGTGGATGAAAGGCAGCACCAATTCGTTTGCATCAAAAATGCACCGCACCTCCCTTTCAAAGGCAAGGGATTGGTGTCCCACCTTTTTGTTCATGGTGTTTCCCACCAAAAATAACAAATGAATCAAAACAATGATAACAGACATCAAAAAAATTCTCGCAAACACCATGTTCAACATGTATATTAAAATATATCGCAGGGCGACTGGCCCGGACGTCGGGTGACGACTCGCCCGCGCGGACTCGCGCCGTGACGACCGCCCAGCTGGTGATGCTCGCCATCCTCCGACGCCGCGACGTGACGTTCACGGCGAGCACGAGCAGCGCGAGCACCGGGACGAGGCACCGAGCCACGGGGGCGCGGCTCCGCGGAGGGGCGCAGGAGCGGGACTGGAGCACTGGCACGAAGATGGAAACACCCAAGATGGGATGGTGGCAGGGTGGAAGTGGAAGATGTTTTCTGTTGAATGGTTGGGGCAGAGGATTTTTTGGAAGATCAAGGGTTGGGGGGAACCCCGTGTGAAGTCTTTTCAGTGTAGATGACCATGCTGTCAACTTGGGCAGGTCCCTCAAGAGAGTCAGATTCGATTTGGCCAAATACCTGCTGAAAGATATGAAAGATGCTGATTTGGCAGAATTGAGGGGAGTCCAGACCTTAATTGAGTCCAGCTAAATCACATAGCTCAAATCATCACTTCACGGTGGTCCTTTTTCCGAGAACAGGGTCTTGGGCCAAAGGCGGCTTTGATGCGCAATCCCCTCCGTCAGCACCTGCATGAGCCAAAAACCTGTGGCACCTGATGAGGTCATGTGGTATTCCCAACCCCCCATCAGGCCAGCACCTGGTTGAGGCCAGCCGAAGAAACCCGCGAATCCACGCAGCCCGTGCGGGAGATTCAGCTTCGCACCTTAGGTGCGATCCGGGGAAGAGGTCGATGCCAGTCACTCAAGTTGATGGCATGGAGTTTGTGTGGGCATTGTTTCTTGTGACAGGGGGCGGGTAATTATTGAAGGGATCGGAGGAATGATGAGAAATGCAGCATGCAGATCAATTTGTTTTGCGCTGCAAAAACAGAACATCCTGGAACTCCAATGAATTACTCAAATGAATTTGCGACGTATCAGCATCCGCATGCACTACTGTATGTGTGGAGGTGTTTGTAGCGTCCGAAGAATCCCAGGGTTCGCCATGTCTCAGGATGATGCTGAGTCCAAACTGCCGTAGACTGCAAGAAGCAGCAGAAAAAGAGTGGCGATCCTGCAAACTCATTCGATACACCGGGCCCGGGCTGTAGGTCACCCGGGTGGCCCGTTTCACCCTGGTTTGGGGTTGACCTTCTTTGTAATAATCTGTTCTGTTCATTGCCCGTGGTCTCTCCCATCCCCCAGTTCTGACCCAGGCCAAGCTGTGTGTGGTCTTCACGTGGCCCAGGCCAAGCTTGTGCCCCAACATGGAGAGTTTGTCATTCTTCACCATGTTCCTGAACCTTTCCATTTCCGGGAGGTGTTGCTTTCCAGAAAAACGAGGTGGGAGGTCTTCCTATCTTAGTACACACCCAAAACTTGCAAGACCGTTAGAAGCGTTGAAGAAGGCGTGTCACTTTGTGTTGTGCGGTACCCTTTAAGGAATTTTAAAGAATCCCAAGTCAAAGACATTCCAGCTGAAGAACCATGGCGGTTTGCCCTAGTTTCTTCCAAATCATTGAAATCCTACCACCTCGAAGTCCTCTTCTCCACCCACCTCGAAGTCCCAGCCGAAAAGTCACGGGCTCGCCGCAACCACCTCGCTCAAGTCTGGGTGACCACGGCCGGACCATCACGGGGTCGCCACGCGGTGCAGCATGGCACCAGGTGCCGGTGATGTGGGGTGATGTCGAGTGATGTCGAGTGAATGCGAGGACGGAGAGGAGAGGAGACCGGAATGGGAACCCCCCGCGGAGGGCTGCGTTCGCCCCTTCATCGCCCCCTCTTCGCCTCGGATCGCAACGCCTGGGGAGGCCACGAGACCCCGATTCAAAGACGCCCCCCCCAATTCGAGGTCGAACCAGGGACGCGGTGGGTCGCGCTTGTGACTCGGGCATCCAGGTGCGGAGTGCGACTCTCTTGGGACTCGACTCCTCATCGCGCTTCTGTTCCTTCTCTCTCTGTGCCAATGGGTGTGACGTGTGTGGTATGTTGGGGCCTTCGCCCGGGTCGGGGAATCGGAGCCCGTCCGATCGGCGGCGGAAACCGCGTCCCGGTCCGGGACGCCGGACGCGGTCCGTCGAAAAGGGGATGGCGGGGCATGGCCATGTCAGTCGAAAAGGTTTCTGAGGATTCTTCCTGTTTGGCGGGATGCATTCATTCCATGCGTTTGTGACGTGGTGGTGATACGGCGTGGTTTTGTTGGACATTTGGAGTCGACGTCTCTTTCCGTTTGTCTTCTCGTCTGAGAAGCAGAGGTGTTCGACAAGAACCATGGGAGAGATCGACATGCATGGAGCTTACTGCAGGACTTGGGTGTGACTGTTCGGGGTTGGACTGCCTCACCGATGGTCAAAAGGATCGCATCACCAGTGAGATTCAGTGAGAACCTGGACGAATAGTATGTGCATGTATGTGCCATGTATCAGTCAGATCAGAATTTGGATTACAGTAACTTTGTCGCACAGGCATGGTTGTTTGCAAATCAGCTTCGCAGTTTTCAAGAAAAATATACGGGCACCTCCTCCTGCCGCAAGAAGCCCTGATATTATATATTATATATATATAATGATCATAATTGATGTCGATGGTCAAGAAGACCTAGCCACTTCAAGAGAGAAGACTAAAGCAGACTTGGACGAAGGTCCGTTTTCTCCAAGATGGCTGAGCTGCTTGCCCGGCCGTGCATCCCTCAGAGTGTTTAGAATCGTTGTCCACCCAGATCCACTCAGTGAGAGGCCGAAAAGCCACCCTTTTGGAACTGTTGGCTCGAATGGTTTTTCCGGCAAATGCCGGGCTTGCTTTTGTGTCGATCTGCAGTTTGCCGTTGTTTTTGGTGGTCGCACATACGACCCAAAGAGCCAAACCTTTTTGGAGGTTTTACCACTCGGTGCAACTCGCTTCTGTTTGGAACATGCCCTATTCCAAGGCTGTCTCCGACAGCATTGGAGAAGGAGGAAGCCCTCGCAAAGAACGGGAAGCGGATTCCAAAAGCCAAGGACACCCCTCGAAGGGCTCGGAATCTGTGAGGGTCTCCGAACGGACAATGGCATGACGACATTATTGACGTGGTTGGGTTTCACAGTCACCTCGCCATTAACTTCGCAATGTTCAAAAAGGGCAACGAATTAAAAACATGTGGTGGTCCGACCAACAAAGAGATGAAGGGCATTGAGAGGTGACAGCTAAAACATCCCCGTTTGTTAGGGCACTATTTTTTCCTGAGGCAGGAGGTCGTTTTATATAAATTTTGATCTGCCCGGTTGGCTCCCACAATTATCTCAATCCACAGGATTTCATAAAGATTGCATGGAAAATCAGCCTTCAAAGCAGGATTTCATAAAGAGTGAAACTACAGCAATTTATAAAGACTTAAGTCTTTCTCACAGCTCTTTCACTTACAGGATTTCATAGCCACATATATTAATCATATATAGCTGACCTTGGAGCTGTCCTACGTGAAGCCATTTTGGCACAATGTTGGCGACCGTCGACACCACAGTTTTAGGAATTTATAAGTATAGAGTTCTGCCATTCCCGGGGAACCCCCGGGCAATTCATTGCCTTTCACGCTGCCACAAGCATGCTTCAGCCACAGGATTATATAAAGAATCAGCGTATCTTGATGAACCTAGGACCACCCATTTTATAACTCCCCAGGTGTTGATTTTACTGGGAATTTCTTATAAAGTCTAGGGTGCCAGGGTCACCCGTCCAACCAACGGGGATCTAAAACACCAGGAAAGACTGCCGTGTTTTTTGCTTCATTTGTGTTTTACTTGTTTCTATAATACATGACGGTCCACGGACCTTTCAAGGAGACCCAGGTTTTTTCCTTTTAGGCGCCAGGGTCGGCCACCGGCGCCAGGGGAGAAAGCGCGGATCAAACATCGTGGAGAGTACCATCCTAATCCACTGGCAGACAAACAATCAGATTCACCAACATTCACCAAATTCTGTAAGTTGCTGGACCGCCAAACACCTCCCCAAAGCATGGTGGATTATAGAACCCACTTCCATATACACTTCCATGTTGCTTTCGTTTCAGGGGTCAGTTTCTGAGAATACGACTGAGCAGCCCCGTTGGACCTGCCACCAGATGGTCCGTCGTCCTTCTTCCAGGCGGACCGGAAGGTGGCTCGGCCCAAGGAGAGCAAAGCCGCTGCTTCGCAGGCGCTGGGATGGATGGGGATGGGGAATGGATAGCCCGTCTCGGGTGGAAGATAGGACGGTCAAAGATAGTCAGAAGGATATAGTGGTCACCCCAGCCTAGACCAAACTCGAAAAGGACGGAAGAACAAGGGTATTCCTTGGTCAGTCTAGCTAGCTAGGCGTTTGTGCTGAACGAACCAACGCAGACAGCCGTTGCACAACTCGAGGCAGCCAGAGACACAACAGCAATCAGCACAGCTGAAGACAACCAGAGACAGCGGAGACAGCCGGAGACAATGGAAAAGTTTCTTTTTGCAACTTTCCTCCATCTCTGGTTGAAATCTCAGAGCTATGTGGCAATCACGTGATCTAATCACATCGAATCACGTGATTGCCTGTGTCAGCCACAAGGTCAAACCATCGAAAAATTCGGGCGCAAGATCTAAGATCTGCATGGATGTTGTATGATTTTGTGATGTTCATTGATTTTCATGTTTTTTCCAGGTCGAGTTTGTGCACTGACTGGCATCTCCACGAAGGGATCACATGTCCATGGGCGGAACGTCGACAACGACCCGCCTGGGGAGAACGAGCCCCGCACAGGTAAACCTGTTTGGGGAAACGGGGGGAGTCGAAGTGCCTCTTCTGTGAATTCAGAATCTGAGTTTGTTTGGGGGTGTTGCTATCGAGCGATGGAGAATCTGACGGAACTGAATGTTTATTTAGTTGGCTTCCCAAAGCCAGAGTTTAGGTCAATGAAAGGAATAGGGGAGGGCCTGTTTGGAGAACCAAACATGTACATACATACCCTTCTTCCAAGAAAAGCCGACGGGACCATTCACCCGGTGCCACATACTGCCACCATCCACCAGCAGAAGGTCTGTCATGTTTGGCTTTCGGTCTTGTAACCACGGCCCAGGAGGTAAAGCAAGAAACGGAGGGTGAAGCAGAGGTTGGAGCGGTCCCAGATCGGTGGACACCAGTTCACGGGTTTGAACAGGGAGGCCCCTTTGAGCCAGCGTTGGAGAAAGGAGAAAGAGCATGGAGAAAGAGCATAGACGAACGCAGAATGAGTCATCCAATAGTCGCAAGTCTTGCCGTCTGAGTCGCCGGTGGAGAGAACGACCTCGTTCGACCGAGCCCGGGCGCGTCGCCTCGTCCGGTTCCGCCGGTGGCTTCGGTGGCTGCGCGTGAGGCGGAAGCCTTTGCGGCCGATCCCTTCGGCGACAAGGGCATCCTTTCGGCGGTGTCGGAATTGAGTGCCGCCGACCAAGTTGTTTTTTCCGCTTGTTTGTCTTTTCGACTGCGTCTTCGAGCTCGCTCAGTCGCACACCGTGTGGGTGGATTCTCGGCGTTCGTTGTTATTCCAAAGTCGACTGGCACAGCTGACGTGATGGGATGATTTGGATTGTAGGTCGTCAATTCAGCACCTTACCTCAGATGCTGTGAGGTCCTGGGATTCTCAATCCTGTGCTTTCGTTCTTCCAGCTTTGGCAATCACCTTGGCAGGTGACCTTCAGCAAGAATGGAAGGAGAAGATGAAACATCCTTCCTTCAGAAAGGCCTGGCTGTGCAAATATCAGAATTCCAGTTTAGGTTTACTAATACATCCCAATATTATCATGCGGCTGCAAGTCCTTCTCTGCCAAATTGGACAGGCCGCGCTGTGTCAAATCTCTCACCGCTCGCAGGCAGGGCCTCCACGAATGAAGCGACCCCCGCCGCAAGCTGTATTGGATGAGCAGGTCGGCCGCGTTTGTCTCCCAAGCGAAGGGGTGGGGTCAACGCGTGCCGAACCGCATGCGGTCCCCATGTGGGTCCCTTCTGAAGAAAGAAAACCCAACGCAACGACCTACACGGCCGAGAAAGCAGAAACGACGAAGATGTTCCACAGCGATCACGTTTTCTTCCATCTCACAATCTAGGGTTGGTGGGGACACGTGTTATTGTTTTTCCATCGTTGAACACTTGGATCGTCCATCGCAGAGAGAAGGAAAGACCCGTGGAGAAAGAAACATCCAATCGTTCAGGAGCGGAGGCACAAGATGGAGGAGATCGACACTCTGGAGCTTCAACTCAAAGAGGCCACTTAAAGAGGAACGTCATCGTTTTACGGAGAAACACCATGATATTACATGTACGTTATACCTTGGGAGTCAAAGACTATAACAAGAATGGTCTTTAGGGGACCTGAAAGGGAACTTCCTTTACTTCAGCCGGTCAAAATATAGTCTTTGGACTTCTAGGGTATATGTGATTGTAAAATTCAAGAAAACGAAACAATGAAAAGAGTTTTAGGGTCGCTCGAGTTTGCGCTGCTTGATCTGGCCGCTGCTTCCTCGTGTTGACTCGTGTGGTTTTGGTGTCGGTTTTGGCGCGGTTTTCCCAGACCCGGACTGGACTGGACGGTGGAAAACCCTCAGTAACAGAAGTTGTCTGGCGTTTGAGCAATTGTCTGACCGTGTCAAGAACTCTAACCAAGCAAGTACTTATATAGATGTTGGATGGCGGGAGTTGCTGAAGTTGGACGACACAAATTTAGCCAGTTGGATGCACATGCACCGTCATCGTCCCATGCAGCCAGCTGTACAGCTGCCAAAGCAGTTGGAACCATAGCTGGTCTGGTCTGCCATGGTCTGCCCAAAGATGTGAAGACCAGTTTCTGTGTCATGGCCGTTTGGTTTTTATTTTGGGCGTATTGGAGGGACCGAAGGCGCTGGTGTGAAAGGGTGAAAGCAGCGTGCCATGTTGGACCTTGGGGCATCCATGCCCAGACCATCCATGTCGTATGGAACATGATATTGGTCCTTCAAACCAGTTTAAAATGGCTCCAGTGTAGGCAAAGATGGATGGTTCGGGACGGTGACCAGGGCATCCCCCGCAACTCGCAAAAAACGCGTTGGGAGAGCCAACAAACGTGCTTTCCCAATGGATCGGGGGGATCCAAGGCCAAAAACGTGGCAGCGGCAGCCAGACGAGCTGCGCAAGCTGCTGAGCAGCTGGCTGAAGCTGCAGCAAAAGAGGCCAGCCCTAAGGGGATAGATCCTAAGCTTATAAGGCTGACTGGTGAGCTGGGGGAGTAGTGTTGGAAGAAAACACAATCAAAGCTACACAACAGAAACATACAAACACCGGGTTTGTTCCAACATCTCAGGTAGTGCAGGCTATCTTCCACCAACCGGAATGAATCCAAGGTCTATGTCCAGAAAATCCTATCCCTCATCCCTACAGCAGCGGGCGGGAAGATAGGGGCAGGGAAAGGCTCAGGGGGCATGAAACGGTCGCACCTGGAAGCCCAACCCTGGTAGGTTGACCGACCACCAGTGTTGTCTATTCTGTTCATGAAGTCAACCAAAGTCTTCCGGTTTTGACCCCTAGCCAAACTCATACAAACTGTTTCGAGCTGCCCATCCATGGTCAGCAAAGATCATCCGCCACAGGCGGAGTCTGGATCCGAAGATGGTCAGACTTCTCAGCATGTTTCGGAGAAGAAGGAGATGCCGACGGCTTTTGGAGATGATCACCTAAGGACCTATATAAGTCCTTAAATATGATGTATCAAATCCATAGTCCGTAGTGCTCGACGTTTTCTCATTCCTTTGTCCTCTCACAAGGACGTAATTTGGGGGGTTCAGTTGTGCCTCAAGTGGCAGATGGGACCTCCTTCGATGCACCGGCCCAGATCGGATCAAGCCAGTTCAGTTCGTTTGGGGCCGGAAGTAACGTACTGCCAACTGCCATCGGTGCACTCCTAAGAACTAACATAGAAACATATCGAAACTCATAGACCATTTGATATACAGACCCCCAACTAGATAGAAAAGTAAAATCCCGTTCAACATGTTTTGGAAACCATGTCACTATATATCTATTTGGGTACTACTTCTGGAGGAAACTCTTCTTCCTTCCCTAAACCCGGAGCCTGGCAGTTTCGTATCGGACATCGGACCTTCTCCTTCGACTCCAATCAACCCATGGGAGATCAAGTTCCTCCAGCTGAGCTGCATCCTCAAGTTCACAGGTGGCAGGTGGAAACATGAAAAGGGCCATGGTCAGCTTGATTTCATATGATTTCATCACATTTGGATAACCTTGGATAACTATCTCAAGTTAAACTTGATTGGTGGTGATTCAGCCGTGGATTTTGCTTTGATCCCTTTGCTTGTGTACTTAGCCACACTGGATTATCACTGTTGCGCCAAGATGCGCCAAGAGTGAATACGACTCTCCCTGGCGGAATGGATTTGAGTATGTTTAAGTCCACGTTCCAAAGCCGGCCGTCCAACTCAGGGTTGCCTTGGAGAGACCCGAGAAAAATAGCACAAGAACTCACATAATATAGGGTTAAGGACGGATTCGGAAACTATGATTCGGAAACTGAATCGTAGTTTCTGAATCTTGGCTTCGGGATCATGGTTTCTGAACCATAGTTTCTGAATCTTGGTTTCTGAATCGTAGTTTCTGAAGAATTTTGTTCATTTTTGTTCCAGATATAGTGATATAATGTGATATATATAATGCATGCTGTTTTATGTAATTGTGGTCTCCCCGGTCATTCCGGTTTCAAAACACGGCTCGGTCGGTCTAACTCGGAACACGAAACGGTCCTGTCTTGAGGAGGAAGTCGACCTGCAGCACCAGGCTGTTCGACTTGATGTTCGACGGATAGGAAACCCCCTGTTCGTTGGGGGTACTCTACTTCAGATGGTTTGTTACGTCGAGTTCTACGTACAATGCATATTTTGTGGGGTCTGTTGGGTTGGGAGTTTGGTTACGAGAAATGTCCCAGTTGTATACGGTACTGTGATTGGGTGAATTTGTTGTGCATCCTATTTACTTTTTCGAGCCGTTCCCAGTCGTCCTTTTCCACGCAACCGTTCGACGTTGACAACACTCCGCGGCGAGACGAGACGAGAGATCGAAGGGATAAGGGTTTCACAAGGGAAACACTGGAGGTTTTTTCTGCAGGACATTTCGGCTTCAACATAACTCCCAAATCCTTTCCGGTCGCCCATGGACTCCATGGACCATGCCCTTTCGGTCGCACCCGTTTCCGTTCGACCGGAGCCCGCGCGAGCGGAAAACGGGTGAGTGAAACGGGGTGAGGTCTTTTGGCCATGATCCACAGCGGATCCAAATAGTGTAGCGGATCCACAGCGGAGAGCTCCCAGTCACGACTCCATGCAAGGTTCGGAAAGTAGGCCAGTCTACCATCCAACCCATCTTCTAATAGGGGTCTCCCTATTAGAATACACACTCAAGTGGTGGGGGTCCCAAAAAAACAAACAAACAAACACACACGTTCATTGGTTCTGTCCGAACGCCTCCAGGCAGAGGCACGCGTCCAGGCTCGGAGGAGACAGGAAGCGAAGGACATGGGTTTGCTGGGTCTGCTGGGTCTGCTGGGTGCGTACCGTCTATACTGACTGCCTATGAGCATTCTGGAAACGACTTCAGGCGGCCTGGCCATGTCATTGGTCCTCAGGATATCATATCATCGTACCACCCGGTGAAAAGGTGCCACCCCCGCACCCCCCCCCAACGAGGAGGCTGAAGGGTGAGGCTGAAGGGTCATGAAGGCTGTAGGTTCGGGGGAGTTCCATGGTTTTGGCATGCTTTGGCACCTATCTCTTTGGAAGACTGGAAGCACCGCATGTCAGTTCCGCATCATTCCGCCGCCCATCTCCGCCCTCCGCCGGTCCAGGAACGGCGCGATCGACAGCGCAAGGAGGCAGAGGAGAAGAGGCTCAAAGAGGCGCCCATCTGGTCCAGCTGCGAGCCGGGCGGTTTGAGACCCTCAAACGAACGGAATGCTTGAGTTCGTGGGATTACAAGCATCCGGCAAATAAGTTCTACCAGGTGTTGGTCGTAGTTCAAGTAATTAGTGGGGTGAGGGCGATTCTTTGGATTTTTTTTTGGGGTCATAGTTTTTTCTGAGATGAAGGTGGGTGACAAGGGGCACAGCGATGAGAGCAGCTTACAGCTTGAACGGTGTGGAGAGTGCAGAGGGGCGGACCAACGCCTGACGGGGCGGAGCGGGGCTTCGTTCGACCTACCTCAGGCTGAAGCTGATGCCAAAGCAAAAGAACTGGAACGGCAGACAAAAGAGAGAATACAGGACAGGCACCTGGTGGAAGCCCGAACATGCAAACATGTGTCCAGTTGTTTCATCCAAGTAACCAAACAAGCGAGAGGCCACCATCAGCAAAAGCATGCAATGCAAAAGCAACGGGTTTAAGCAGAGGGTTCGAAAGATTGCCTGTCGTGGCCCTCAAAGATCCGCTAAGTCTTGACTTTGCAACACTTGGAAATGGTTTGATTTGAAGTAGATATTGACCATTGCCGGAAACTTTGAGAGATTGTGTTCTGAACGTGGCAGGCATGCCTTACTTAAGCACTGACGAAACAGGAAAACAGCCAACCCACATGTAAGAAGCCATACTTGGCACTCTGACACTGCCTTCTCATGTCCCAATCTTAATCTTCTGAGCTTGAAATGCAAAAGTTAGCCTGAGTGTGTCCTTCGATTTGTTTAGATAGGCTGAAGACTTCAGAAAAAGGGTGTTTCGCTGTTCTCAAGATGTTTCTGCAACCGAGTCTAAATTTATCAAAGTTTGCTTGTGAATCGTGAGGGATTCAAGTACGAAGTTGTAAGCTTGTACTCCAAATCTCAAGGAGAACTAGCCAGTCACCAGTAGAATCCAGTAGAAACAATATCAGATTCCTCAGGATTTGTGTTGGTCACTCACTCACCTCACTCACTCCATTCACTCACTCACTCACTCACTCACATGTCTAATCTTCCTGCCTACTGGCGACAAAGACCTGAAGAGGTCACAGCGAGCTGCCGCGACATGCTGTGACACTGGAACTTGTTGGACCCTGTTGGAGGTGCTTTTTGAGGGTAGAGGGGAGTTGCTTGACGGGTTTGCCGAAGACCACCGCGGTGAGAGAGAAGTTCTCGCGGCCTTCGAGGAGCGGAGACGTTCTGAGAGAGCGCGTGACCGACAACTTCAAGAAGAAATGGAGCGTCGCGCTCCAAGCAACGGGTGATTCTGAAGGGACGAAGAGGAGTGAGGAGATACCAGCATCCAGGAGCCCAGAGGAGCCCCCAAAGCTATCTATAGTGGGATTGGTGATCCTTTTGCCTCGTGGAATTGATGGTGTGTTTTTGTTGGGGTTGAGTGGGGAGCCACCAAGAGAGACCCTGTTCCCAGCCGGATGTGGTTACTGGTGTTTCTTGGAAGCTCCAAGAGTTATGGGATGAAGTAGAATAGCCCGCGTCAAGGCTTGGCGACCAGAAAACTGGTGTAAAAATTCGGAGTTCCGATCGAATTCCTCAAACAGGAGGCTCCATATATATATATATCCATTATGCCATATATACATACGTTTATCGATGTTTCAAGAACGGGAGCTGGAATTCTTCGATTCCGAACCGCTTCCAAACCGAAATCCGCGAAGCGACATGTGCCGACGAAATCCGGAACATGACCGCATGGGCCAAATTGAAGGGTTCTCCTGTTCCCCAAATGAAACTCCTTAACGTATATTGTATTTTTTAATTTAGGTTGTTGATTCTTCGCTTCCAAGAGATCCATCGCATTAACAAATTACAATTTGAAAGGCCACAATTTCAAGCTACTGTAAGCAGATGAGTTGTTTGCACATCAGGTGAATATTGGGATTTCGTGGCCCCAATACGGCCAACATCTAAATTGGAGGGCTCCAAAGAGTTGTGGGGTCCAATCAACGCCTAGTTCCGTTGCGGGGCTTCACGATTCCAAGATATTCCAAGTGTTCAGGGTTCCAGGCAGAGGTTGTCGTCGGGGGCCCGGTTCTGGGCGACAAGTGGTGGATAAAACTCTGTTTCAAAGTCAAAATTCAAGGTTCCAGGGCTTTGAACAGATAGTTGCAACCACAGTCAGGCTCCAGAGCGAACGAGGCTTCAGGACTTGGCTTCAAGGCTCCCCAGTTTCAGGCCTAAAGTTGTGAGCGGCCGGTGATCTTATTGTTTATCAGAGGACGGCTGCATAGTCCCTATAGATGTCCCTCGGTTCCACAGCTCCAAGGTTACAGAGTTCGCGAACAGTTGCGATCAGGGGTCTACAATTTTCAGTCACCCCATCATTTCCAGATAGATGGAGGAATATGTCGTAGCTGGATGCAGGTGCAATTGTTTAGCTACACTCAAGTAGTACTTACTCAATAACTCCGTTGTTCACAACTGGACAGGAAAATCGCTGCCACATGCTGTGAGACAGGATCAGGAGCTGAAGGCTGGTCAGAAGGACGGTGTCAGGTGAATCTGTTGGTTCCGACGATCGCTCGCTTCACCGGACCCTTCACCCGCAGGAGCTCTCATCGGTCGGTGGCCGAGGTGAGTCAGAGCTCAAAGAGCAAAGATCCCAACAAGCTGCGGAGGAGCGAGGTTCGGTTCTTCGTGCTCGGCAGAAGGCAGAGGTTCCGGTTTTCGAGACGAGCTGTCACTTCTTCCTTTCTTTGAGCCGACATGCATGAGTTTTGGACATCCAATGAGTTGCACGAAAGTGCCTGAAAAAATAAGCTTTTTGGGGGACACCTTCTTGGACAACCGCAAGACCCCTGCAACTGGATGTAATAGCAACAACATGCAACAACCATTGAAGACGGACAAAGGCAGGGACCCCCTCCGACCCAATGATCTCCCCAGACCCAGGAGCTTCAGCAGCAAGCATTAAAGCGCTTGGCTGACAAGGACATGACCGACTGGTGGGTGAAGGTCGAAATTCGGATACCTATCCAAAAGAACATATCATGCAAGTAAGCTTGGCTCCCATCAAGAGAAGCTGATCTGTATTAAAGCAAGATTAGGATCCGGTCCCCTTGGTCCCTTGGTCAGCTTGTTTGTTGATCTTCTTTTTCGTTGTTCCGCTGGTTGCTTGGTCCCCTGGTCTCCAATCACTGGTCGCTTCCTGTGAATGTATACAACACACCGTGCGGGTGGTGCAAACACATCGTTTACGACCAAACACGATCCTAACAATGAACGCTCATCCCCCAAATAAAACCACATATGGTCAGACCGACATCGATGACAAGAATGATTGAAAATGACTTTCTCGGAACATATGTTCAAATCACACGAATCTCGACAGCCGGAGTATCAACAAAATTCTTTTCAGTCAACAAACATCTATCTTTGTGTTTGCCTTTCAGAAAGGCGCACATGATGCACGCAGATCAGGAGAATACCTTGCGTGTATCAACACAAAACTCGACTCAATCTCAATCGCACCTTCGAATCGACGAAAAGAACCTGAGGCAGAACGGTAACATAAGTTGTTTTTTTGCGTACCTAAACGGCCAAGGTTGCACCACAGAAGCAGCAAAGATTGGAATACATCCTTACTCCCTTCCAATTTACCCTCCTTACTCACCCACACAATGTTTGTGAGGGCAGGTGTTGCTTGCAGCGGGGCCTTTGCGTGTCATGTAGCTGCTCTGCCAGGCTGCCAGGTCGGTCGGGACAAAATCTGATGCGAAGCCTGGTTTCAAGCGACCTGAAGGTTTTCCAACTTCGGGGGGGTGGACCGATGTAGACATGGAGACCCGGCCTGGTCGCAACACCAGACCAAAGGGACCCCGTGTCGACCCGGTGGTCAAAACCGTGTCGACAGGAGCAGGTTGAGCGACACTTGGCCGATGAGCTTGCAAAGATGGAGGCTGAGGCTGAGGGTCACGCTGAAAAGGTCACGAGGGTTGATTGTATACATGGAAGATGTCGGGAGTCGTAGCCAAACATCTTCAAACTGTGGAGACATTTTGGGGGGGTCTGCAAGTTTGCCACTTGACATATGGGCTTTCATGACTCCAAGCGTTTTCAATGGTTTTCCTCCAAGCGTCTCCACTCCAACGTTTGGGGCTGGCTCAAAGTGTGGTCCAACTTGGAGTGGACATGGGTCATGGAGGGTCGATTCCCTCCATGACCTGCGCTGCGTGTTTCGGCATAAACCGAGTGGTGAACCGGGTGGTCGTCAGACCTTCTTGCATCGCATCGCGGGTCAAAACCCGGGTGGAACCGGGTCGAATGGAACCGGGTTTGGCATGGCATGGACCAGACTGGAAGAGACCCACGCTTCCTCCGTGTTTTCTTTTTAAGGTTCCATGATGTTCTCCCTTCCTGGGTCTTCCAGGAAGTGCTCCCATGGGATTTTGTGAGAGATTGACCAAGCTCCAAAGCTGGCAGAAGAACTAGAGGTTCTGACCAGCCTGAGGCTAGACTTGTCAGAGTACTGTATCAAGTTCTTTTGGGCGGGATTCTCAAATCTAGAGCTCCTGCCCAATGTAGTGGTCGTAACATGTCACACAAAACATTCCAAGCTCGACTCACTGACGTGCGTTCCTTGTTTGGACATCTACCACCAACGTATTACACACTGATGGAAGCTTCATCAGTAACTTAACATGACGGCTCTGGGTTCACTTCCCCTTGTGGAAGCTTAACATGCGGCTCTGGAAACCTCACAAACCCTTCGACCGCGGCATCCTGTTCGACCGTCCAATCAAGTTCACTCCGTCCGCCGGGCCGTCCGCGGTCTTTGTGCGCCGTTCATCGACGGCGGCATGGGGCGGGAAAACGCGCGAGGGAGTGGTGGTGCGGCGATGGATGTCCAGGCCAAAAGACAGCAAGCGCAAGAAAACCAAGCAAGAGCCGAAGAGCTGTGAGAGCCTCAGGAAGTCTACGAAGTGAACGCAGCTCTCGTGCGCAAGTGAACGCAGCTGTCGTGGATATCTCTTTGGGGAGCACTGAACGGTGTCCCAAATGCGGAGTAAACAGGATTGCCATCGACTTCGTTTACGTCGAGGTTGACGAAGCTCATGACGAAACTCGCCGTTGCCCATTTCGACATGACCAATGTTCTTGATCTTGTGTGACAACCTTCCATGGAAACTTGAGACCTTTGCCATCCTTTGCCATTGTTTCATGCCCACCCTTGATTGGCCCACGACATCACTTCGTTGGGTGAGATCACCAGTGACACTGTCAGTTCTTCCACTTACGCCCCAAAACCGCAGGCGTCAAAAGACTCGCCGACGCATGCAGCAATACACACGCCAGCAGCGTGATCAATGGATGGCGCAAGAGGAGGTCGGAGATGCCGTCCAGTCATCATGATGCTGAAAGACTAGCGGTAACAAGCTTCCCAGGGGTGACATCCTTGATGTTTGTCTATTCTTCCCTTCCATGGAGTGTTTGGCCATGTTTGGCCTGTATCTTTCTGGTCTTCTCATCCCATCCTTGGTCGTCCTCCAGGCTCGCAGGAGGAAGATGGAGGAGGAAGCCCAGGCGGTGACCGGACTGGACAGCTGTCCGGACCATCAAGTTCATCCAGAGAGGCCACAGATGACCCCAGATGACCTTACCTTTTGGGTCAGTTCGGTGTCCGTTTTCGGAAAACGGCCGTGTTGTCACAAAACGGCGTTTGGTATTGGAACAATCCGGAATCCTTCCGGATCATCTCTCTCCGAAGTTCTTCCCGTCCAATTTTGGGGGGGGCATCTTTCTTCGGCCAATTTGTGCGCTCGGAATTCGATTCGTTTTTTTTCGATGAGGCTGCCACTCATCGAGTTGATACGTTAGGGCATCGTTGGGCATCTAGGGTCGTTGAACCTTCGACCGGCGGTCCGGCATGCGGTCGGCATCCACCTTTGGGGCGGAGACAGAACCCACGACCGGAGCGGGTGCTGTTGCCCCTGTGGGTGCTGGAGCGATGCCGGAACTGCCGGAACCATCCGGAACTGCCGGAACCATCCACCAGTTGAAGAGTTGGCGTCCAACACTGGGATCTCCGAAACTGCCTTTCTCCACAAAAAAACCTACCATTTCAATCAGAGGTTGTATGTATGTTCAGCATCGATGTGCATAGCATGTGTTCCTTTGAATGTTGAATACATATTAACCTATTGATGATGGATAGGCCATAAGTAATAACAGCATTAAAACCATCGGTCACACCAAGTCATACCGTCTCCATGGCACTTGTAATACTGTTGCGCTGCTCGGCCACGCTACAAAGAGCGACGAAAGCTGGTCGGTACCGTTTGATTCCAAACCAATGATTGTTCTTGTTCAACCGAAACGCGTTTGTGTGAAAACCCAGACAGTCTACGAAGTTTCTTCTTCTGATTCTTCTTTGGGGATTCCATGAGAAGAAGACGGACCACTCGTGTCATTCAATGTCATTCATGCTTCGTTGATTTGTCAGGCAGCCGACGACAAAATCATGCAGGCAGGCTGGCGTTTGTGTGGAGGATTGTAGCGGATATAGCACAAGAGTGTAGCAGCCCGAAAAAATGTATTGAACAGTACACTTCAGGGTGGTTGGACAGTGATCAGCTGTCTTGGGATCTCTTGGCTTAGCGCAGTCAAGTCACCTGCGGACTCGCCTACAAAAGCTGTTCGCCGAAGGCGATCCAAAGCCAAGAGCGTGCCAAAGCACGGGCTGCCGAGTTCAAGCATCGGGAGAAAAGTGTGGAAAAGGCCCTGTTGCCGGACTGCGCTGGCGCCGGACGAGCTGCGAGCTGCGAGGAGCATGGAAAAAGGTTGATATTGGGTTAATTACATTGGAATGCCACCACCCTTTGTGACTACTTATGCTTGCAATTGTGGTTCGATTATGTTCGAATGCTGTGTTGGTTCGGTACAGTCGTTGTTCAACTCCAAGTTGAATTCTCTTTGCTTGGAGCTTGCCTTCGACTGGCTGGAATTGCAATGGGGATCCCCTTCCTTTCTTCTCATGCCTGGAGTTATTGCCAGGAAGGATTGGGCTGAAGATGCAATAATATATTTTGAAATAACAATTGTAATGCTCTTTAGAGAACCGCAAAGTGCAGAAGATTGGGTGAACCATTCATTGCGTCATTCATCTTCATTCTTTGTAGCTGCCTCAATCGCCTCAATGCAGCCGGTGGTTCAATGGGTCTTTAATAGGGAACCCCCGATCGCCCCTGGCTGGGTAGACGATCGTTCTGAACCTTCCAGGGAGGTCGTTGCCGGGGGTCAGTCTACCCATTTTGAGACACACGCTTACATGATCCCCATCATTGGATTCTGGTTGTGAGTTGATCACGAGTTGATCTGATTCGTCCTGAATTTAGAGCGGATTTTGTGGAGAACATGCCATTTTTACATGTGAAAACTGTATCCTTTTGGTGGATCGTTGGTCGTGTGGTTTTTGACAAAACCACTCCAAACCCTCGGTGGTTTTTCGACGTCGCTGGGGGGTATCTGGGTGGTTTTGTCCAGGCACGGGCCATGCTGGAAGAAGAGCAACAGATCAGGCAACAGGAGCTGGCTGAAGTGGCCCCAACACCCAGATGTGCAAGACCATCGGTATGTTCACCAGGCGAAGAAGAAGACCGCGGTTAGAGCGGCTTTTGAATCAGACGGTTTTTTAATGTTTTTTAAAGAATCTTTGTGAAAGATTGAAAGTCACAAGGTATATCAAGCTACAGACGGTCACATGGAGTCAGACAGAGACAGAGCGACAGGACTGTCGGCGCTTCGACAGTTTTGCGAAACCAAGGCCCACATGGAGCGTCAGCGAAAGAGACATTGGAGAGCCGAGCTAGCAGCTCGGCTACATTCATGTGGGGCGATGTCGCCGAGAAAACGGGAGGCGTCTCCAGAGACCAATGAAGGGTTGACCAAAAACTCGGCTCCAAGGGAGTTCAAATAATTCCTCCAAGAATCGAAGCCGATCACACTTGAGGCACCTATGCCATGAAAGGAACTGGATCTCTGGAACACCAATCCCTGGGTATGTTTCTTCTACTTCTTCTTCTTCTTCTTCCTTGTCCTCTTCCACTTCCTCTTCCTCTTCTTCAGCCACGTAGACGACGAAGGGTTCAGTTTGTGGATAAAATCTGTTCATCTTTAAGATCCGCTCGCCCGTAAAAACACACACGATCTAGGGAAAGACATGAGGGATCCGCTTCACCTCACCCTGCTCCTCCCCTCCCCCGTTTTCGACCGTTCCGTCCGTTTCGGGCCACGTGATGTTCGCCACAATCATCTGACCGCACTTGGACGGGGGGGGGTCACGTGCGAACCAGGGGGGGTCGCGGGGTAGCGACACAGGTCCGCAAGTGGGAACTTCCGTTCGCAGGGTCCCATGGGAATCGTTTCACCTGTATAGCAAGATACGTTTGAGATCTTTTTATGTCTTTGAGCCACAACGGCAGGGTTTTCCATGCCCCTTGCCCGGACGTTGGCCGCGCAGCGATCCAAGGCGCGTGGTGCTACACCACTGCGGTCCGAGGTGTCCTCTTCACGTGCGTCAAGCCATCCTCCATTGAGGTGGGGAAAGGGCTTTCCGGGAGCCACACTGAGTCAAGCTCGAGGAGAACCATGTGGAGATGTGTGTGTGTGTGTAGAACAGTTCATTTGGATCGCTAAAGAAAGAAGAGTGAAGAAGATTGATTGGGAGCTCCCATGCTGCATATCTCTTCAGACCTATCTATGGGGCCCATACCCCCCCTATTCTTATGCGATTGATGAGCTCGATCAAACTCCCAACACCGTCATCTAATGGATACCCCACGACCACCGCCCCGCCCCGAACAACGCCACCCGACCCTCCGTCCGCCAGGCCAGCTCCGGTTCGACCGGTCTACGAGTCCTTCGGAGGCGCGGCGGTCGCGGTCGCGGTCGCCTTGGAGGAAAGAAGATCAAGACCGGTGTCCTTGTTGGAGTATGACACCGGTCATGAATATGTCGGTCGTTTGGATATATGGTGCTTTTGATATGATGATGTCTTAATGTGTTTTTGGTAGTTAGAAAGATTGCATATCAAAATCCAGTCCGGACCTCTTTTAAGAGATGGTTGGGCGAGATTTTTTGGGGTTCCTTTCACGAGACCGCCACATCGAAGTCTTAGCTCAAAAGCAATCCGTGACCTCCAAAGGATCAGAGGTTCCGTCGTTCCTCCATGCGCCGAAAGTTCCTCCATCGCTCTCGGTCTCGAAAAGAGCATGTCTCGCCCGTCCTCAGGTCGAAGTGCCGAAAGCAGCCGAGCCAGTACGCCCAAGTGCCCCATTTGGTCGATCGTGGATGGCGACGAATCCCGTCCGTGGGCGGCTGAGAGATGGAGGTGCGAGACGAGCGAGACGAGCGAGCAGTACAGAACTGTACTAGAGTCGGATGCAAGTCTGCAAATCAAAATCCTTCACAATGTCCACTGTCATCCATTGCTATCAAGGAATGCGCAAGAATCGATCCAAATACATCCAAGATCATCGCAAGTATAGTATTTGTGGACCGCCTTTGTATGCGTGTCTTGTGAGTTCATTTATGTCTGACACGACCACCAAAGAGACCCAGGCCACCAAGGCCACTGCCAAGACCAACGCCACATGAACAGAAGAAGGCAGGATGAGTTGTGGACAGAGCGCTATAGAGCGCTTACACTACTGCATGTACATTAATTGGCTTATATGCGCGTAGCCTTCCTCAAAGACTTATGGTTTAGGGAAACCTCCTTCCGTGGGAAAACAGGAAAACCGTCTTCCGAAGGGCCAGGGCATCCACTTCCATGTTTAGAGCTGATACATTCAGGTGTTCAATGAGCAAGTGACACCAATTGAGGTTCTTTGTCACGACTCAAAGAATCAATCGCTGGAGCAGTCCAGCAAGTTAGGCAAAGAATTCGGCATGATCGATGTCCAGTCGCTGTCCAGTCGAGCCGCCAGGTGCCCTTGCAGAGATTGACCAGGGCAGTGAGCCAACCTCCCAGGCGCTGGAACGGCACCGCTTACGGGATCCATGGGACGTGGTTGGGGACGGAGAAGCTGGGATGGGTGATGGAGAAGCTCTGAGATTTTGAAGAAGCAGACATTCCACCTTTTGTCACCCCCCAATTCCGATGTCACCGAAGTGTGTTGGGCACCGACCACCATAACCACTGCATGGTGGTTGAATCAAAGTCAGGGTCAATGTAGGCATAGTATGGCATAGTTGGATGTTGTAGGCATCTATTCGCAAAGCGAACGGGTCAGGCATGGCATGGCATGGCATGGATCTATGTTGCAGCTGGACTTTCAACTCCGGACCGTTCTTCCAACGGCACTTGGATTCGATTCGGCATCCTTTCAAATCGGAAAGAACTCGTCCTGCCACAGGCCATCCAAGCCAGGTGAGAGACAGGGTGGTTGGAGGGCCGTCCAAGGGGGTGGTCCAAGGGCCAACGGGCCAGGTCACAGGTCCCAAACGACCAGGGACTCGGATGTTCAATTCGGTGTTTCGTCCGACGTATCGAATCGATATCAGTCATTGACTGGATCCAAATGTATAATGAACCACAGGGGATGGAGCCACTACTTGAACACAACCATGATGCCCCAGTCGAACGAACGACCAAGGACTCCGACAAACGCGTTACACTCGCAGTGGTGGAGTGTGTCGCCTACGAAGTCAAACAGGAATGCGACATGTTTTGTCTCTTTCACGTGAGAAAACAAAGTCATGACGCAAACATGGGCTCTCCAGCTGTGTTTGGGCAGGCCGGCTCCCTTTCTGGCCCCCCTTCTTGCCCCGTCCTCGCTGGGGGACGACTCTATTTTTGTTGGGAAACCCGAAGCTCATTGCTACGCCTGGGAGGTCTTCCTGAGCTACACACACATGAGCAAAGAATGGCATAGAGCTCATAGAGCTCATCTTTGGGCCATACGTGGTTTAATTCTTCGAATCTCTTTGAATCGGAAATCGATCGATGTGGGGCCAAGATGGGCACGTCGTCCTTTTGGGGCATTCTCTTAGAGCTTGTCTAGCCCCAAACCAATGTTGTCCCCACCAAGTCAAGGACTTAAGAATCGGGTTCCAAATCTTCGGCTTGTCAGGGGGTAATTGTTCAGTCCTTCCGCGCTAGGAAGTGGTGCGTGCAGTGGAGCTTCAACGCCCGAGCATTGGGATGAACCCAGCCACTTCGTGGAGGAAGTCACTGCTTATCCTGAGAATCCTAGGCGGGCACTGGCTGGTCAGCTTGGCTTCGTTTGGGATCATAGCATAGCAGAACTCTTATCGTAGCTCAGCTTGTCATAACGGTGTGTCAAAGCATTTCAAAATAGTTCAAAGATGTTCAAAGCATGTCATGCTCCTTTTTTGGTGGAAGGCGGCGTTCCAGGCCGTCCACACCCTTTGTTTACCGAAGTGTGAGGTGGATGTTCTGCAACTTCAAGAAAGATTACACGTGATGGGACAAACCCATACAAACCTACACTAGGACTCCCAGTCGGGGTGGTGAATGGACCACCCTTACCTCTAAGGGACTCCTATAGTCTATCATTTCATGGACACCCAGAATTCGTGGTGCTGGTACAAACCCAAAATGGTCAGTGGCTTAAAGCCACGTTTGAAGACCTCTCATCGCGGACACCGGGTCTTCTCTTCTACGAAAAGGCACATCCATCGACCCTTTGGACCCTTTGGCTGACCGGTCGCCGTAAGAACCAAACCCACCAGGCAGGAACACGCGCGAAGCCCAGAACGCCGCAGTCGTGGTCTCGTCGGCCAGGTGTGTCCAGGAGACTCAGGCGGACGATGCCTCCACTCCATCCTCCGTAGGGCCTGGAGGCCACGGGTGGGGAAAGTCGGCCCGATCGGCTCAGAGGAGGAAGCTCGGTTTAGAGGAACGTCCCTGGTGGTTTGGCTCTCTTAGATATTTTTGCGGAAAAACGACCAGTCAATGAGTTTCAGTAGAAACACCGATTTGGAGAAAAAAGGAGGGTCTTCCAGGCAGCGGGTCTATTTTCGATGTGACTCTTCCCGGGATGTACATGCCGGTCTGAAAAACCAGCAGTTCCAACGGGTGGAAGGGGTGCGGGTCCAAGCAGCATCGAACGAGAGTCAGTGCTTTTCTGGAGCCAGACATAGGTTGCATTCTTCTGCCAATCATCCAAAATCATCAACATGGATATCTTATCCATACAACTCTGGGGCCATCTCGGAGCGCGCAAAGTGCTCTCTTTTGTTTCCAATGCTTTGACGCTGGTTGTTGAAGCTTGGTCACACCACGTGCCGAGCTCATCTCGCACCACCTGCCCGTGCCCGTGCCAGCACCCAAATCGCCCAAGCCATGGAAGCAAAAAGCGATACAGGCGTGGGAAAAGTCCGAGACACTGCGGGCGGTGTTTCTTGAGTCATTGATTTGGGCTCACGGGGTGAACTGCAGAGTGCCGTGCGGAACCAAAACGTTTCCTGCCATGTTTTTGGCATTCCCAAGTAGTGCAAGCAGTTAAAAGATCCCAGAGACTTAAACAGCATCAAGATATATCAAAATATATATATCAAAATATGTTTACATATTTTTGAGATGTCAGAGATGCTGAGATGCTTTTTGGTTATAACACCTCTAAACTACGTCATCATCTACTTTGCTACGAGGCTTGTGTTTCCAAACGTTCAGAGACATCATCGATGCCTCCAATCTACACGAGGTGAACTCGGCCGCGCACTACTTGGACGCGCTGAAAGCAGCTCGGGGTGTGGCCAAAGCCAAGACGCGGCCGACGCCCGGGAGCAAAGGACCAGCCTGGATTGATTCATGTGGCCTCAGAGTACTGAGTACTGATCCAGAGGCTTGCAAGTAGATCTTCTGTGGTACCCCCTCCCCAAATGCCTCAAAGAAAATGGAGCAAACAAATATGTGTTTGCTTTTACCGATGGTATTGGTGTAGCATCCAACAAGACTTCCGTACATGTACTTTAGTCTTTAGTCATGAGCCGTCTTAAGTATTTCTGAAATGGTCAATACCTTGCGAAACCGATAGGGGCCGACCATAACGATACCCTTTCTTGATTGAAAGTAGCTTATTGCCTGCATTCTAAAACACTGGAAGCCGATTTGGACCAACCTAAAATATTTTTCGGCATTGGGGACGCCTTGTTTGCCCCTCATGTGTATATAATGTGTATATATATATATATTATATATATATGTTTATATAAATTTATATATAAATATACACGTGATATAAGCAATTGTACACTGTATATATATATATAGTTATATATATATATATCCGATCCTCTCCATTTCAGGTTCTCAGGCCCAGCCGCCGTGTTCGCCCGTCAGGATACGCTGAGCAGTTACGTTTGAGGGCCGAAGATGTGGAGGCCGGAGGAGCAGGTGACGGGGCGCGTCGGTGGGAGAGTCAAAGGACCATCTTTGGATGTTTGTTTATTGCATCACCGATTTAACAGACAGTTTAACAGACCTTCTAAGAAGAGCCGTTGACCTTCTGTGCTTTGGTTGTTTGATTTAAGAATGGTTGGGGGAAGGCAAGATACTCGGTGTCCTGATCCCTGCAGGCGACAGGGAAAAGTGTCGCAAGTGGTCAGTGCTGGGTCATGGCACCAGGATACCTTGGTTGACATACCCGGAAGATCCCAGAAGGGCAAGCTACATGGTGGACCAGGGCTCCAGGTTTAGACCCATCCCCATTTAGAGGCAAACCCATGGCACAAATGTGTTCCTTCGCTTGAGCACGTCGAAGACTAGTTTTGAGGTTAGAAGTCCTCGTCGCCTTATTTAGAAAGTTGATCCAATTGTGCATCGACTGTCGCTTGGAGTTTGGAGAGCTTGGAGTCCTTGTAAAGGGGATCGAAGCTCTCGTGAAGCTCTTGCACTAAAGTTACGAGCTGTCAGTTGTTTGCCTTTCCATGTGGTGACCATCCTTGTTAGAGACCATTGGCAGTGCTTGGGATCATCCAACCCTTTGTTCACTGTTGAGGCTTTGTCTACCGTTTGGAACCTCTAAAACTGATACGCCAACCGTTTTGAATGCATCACGTGTGAGGCCAAGCAGCGGGAAGAGGAGGATGTGCGCATGGAGCGAGGCTATGCCGCATTGCAACGAGTGCAACAACGTGCGCGACAGGCGTGACTTGGCGAAGCGCGTAGCGTGTGGGGGGTATGCGATACTTTGGTCAACAAGTGTCAACCATTTTCCGGAAATGAAAGCCCAGCCCTGAGATATCTATATTATACTGTATATTATATATATGATGTATGATGATGTGTGCTTGAAATCACCTATTCACAGTGCAAGAAAGCCTGCGCAGCCTGGTCGGTAGCTTTAGGGATCACGTACCCGGCCCGGCTTTTCTCTGACGTCCGCCAAGCCCGACAGAAAAAGAACCTTTAGACTCCAGAACCGAAGCAGTTGTCCGATGAAGTGGCTGAGAAAAAATCTCACTTCCAAGTGTTTTCAGGATGGTGGAATGCTAGACGTCCGGAGGCTCCATGCATCTGGTGGCTTTGTCGTGCAGAACGAACCTCCGACATCTGGAGGCTGCCTCACCCACTTCGAGCTCTCGGCTGAGTGGCTGACCAGGTCCGATCCGCCGTCCTGAAGAGTTCGGCGAACGACACCGACACCAGGTCAATCGGTCGGTTTCCTGGTTTTGACATACAGCCCTAGAAGCACCCTCTTTGGGAATGTCTAGAAGATGGATGAAAATGGATGACCAGCCTGAATCCACCCATTTCTAGTTTGGAGACCTTACAGTACCCGATGTTTTCCGTACAGTGATGTCAGAATTTCTGTCAGCACATTCGCCCATGCGGACATGAACAATCATTCACAGTTCCACGACGTCTCGACTTGCAAGTAAGTTACCAATTCAGTACCCGAACACTTCATGTTCGTAGCGGAAAAAACAAGCCGCCCTGACCCCGACTTCAACCCCAACTGAATCCGTTATTTGGCAGTCCCAGACATCGTGTTTGGGGTATTTCCATTGATCCACACAGATGCAGACGGATTTGAGTCCACTTCTTCCGATCCCGGCCGAAACCCGCCGAAACATCTCCGATCATCCGCAGGCGAGCAACGGCTCGAGCCCGGCGAGAAGCCGGCCGGTCGCCAGAAGTGTTTCACGAAGTCCATCGAGTGCTGTACATAGGAGCCAGGCAGCCGGGCAGCTTTCGTGTTCCATGCATGCAGCGTGTCCGATGCATGCAGCTGCCAAAAGATCCAAAAGCAATGGCTTGTGGAAGTATCAGAAAAAGTAGGTGTTCCTCCAACTTACCCTTTGGTCTAAGGAAGGTTGACTCACACTCACACCATCTCACGCCCATATTACTAACTTTTGTTTAGTATACGGTCAGTATACGTAGTGTCAACTCGCATTGTTATTGTTGCAGTTTGTTGCATGTTTTGAATCCAGTGCGTTTCAGGGGGTGTTCGGTATGTGCTGTGCTCAGACCAGTCGTCCTCCGGCCGGTCCGGCTGCCTTCGTGGCGAAAACGAAGGTTTCGCGTCGAGAAAAGGACTTCCCGCATTTGCTTGCCCTGTTTCAGTGGTCGTGATCGGTTGTTCTGGTAGGGCCTTGGTAGGGGTGGACGAAGGAGGGGAAGGGACGAATGAGTGGTGCCAGCCCCGAAAGAAGATGCAGATGCAGATCCACGAGAGGCGTTGGATTCTAGCTGTGAGAGACTTTGTAGGATTCTGTTGAAACAAGGTAATTTGAATAGCCTTGATTTGACAGATTATACCCTTAGTTGGAGTTCTTGTTCATCGATTGACATGGGCCATGGGTGTCCAAAACATGGAGACGGAACGAGTCAGATCTCGGCCGCGGAATTTCTCCGAACACGGGCGAATTCCGGTGCCGTCCGCTGCATTTTTTGCAGCAGAGACGGGTGGGAGGCCTCCAGGCCGATTGGCCACGAGGCAACAAACTCGAAACTGCAAGGAGAAACTGCGTGGAGCCCTGGAGGGAAGGATGGGAAGGCCCCAGGTGGAAGCTTTTGATTCGCCGCCTTTCCGCCTTTCCAACATGTTCCAACAAAAAAAAAGGGCCACCTACCTTCAAAAGGAGTGTGTTTGTTGTGTGTGTGTGTGTTTTTGGGGTCGATCATCCTTTGCAGCCAAGCTAGTTGTCCCCCTTGCCACAGACTTGTGAGTTCAAAGACAGCTCCCGATGCTCGCTCCACGCAACACTCATACCAGGGAAGATGGCTGTGACAATGCACGACAAGCGCCTCGGCTGTCCGGAAGTGGTCTCGAGAAACAGCTAAGCGGGCAATCCGAGGCAATGTGACGAAAAAATTGTAGGAGAAGACGTATCAAATCAAGATCAGGTCATGATGCCATGTGTTGCGAAGGAGGACGCGCAGCACTCATTGTTCCTGTCTTGTCTCCCTTGCCCCCTTGCCATCATTGCGCATGACCACCAGGTGTTCTGCGAGACGAGCTGTTGCTCAGTCTTGCTGCAGAAAATATGAGGCCATGCGCCATCCGGGTCAGCCAACCGACCGGTTCCTTCGGTCGGTCAGATGACCAAAAGCTTTCCAAGGCATGTGCAACAGCTTCAAAAGACTCAGATGTGCAAGTTTTTCATGAACCACCGGAGGCGGGGCATTGGCGTTTTTCATGTTGCTGTTTCGGACATGGACGTGTCTTCTGTATGTGAAAGTGACATTCCCGGCACAGTGTTTGCAACGCAGTAAGTCGATCACCGGTCTGCATCACCACAGGCAGTTGTCAACTTTAGGACATGAAAGGCACTGGTCAGTTCCCATGCCTTCGGGACCCCTTCTCCACCCTCGGCTGATAGCCAGGGGGAGGACCTGGAGACAAAGACCTACAGGACCTAGGGGCCTAGGGGATTGAAGTTCCTCTCTAAAAACCACGCCCGAGGTAGTAGGGGAATTCCCCCTATCATCCCCTATCAGTTCATGGTTTCCCGAGCTTGTGGCCTTCATGTCTCCTCACGACAGATGCGCGGCAGCCCGTGGCTTGCCCCAAGGGGCAAGGGTAGTGTGGGCACGCTGAAACCGATGATCGATGCAGGATCTACCAAAGCTATATAGGCATATATAGGCACATGATTCCTACTGCTTGTGAATTGCTGGCCCACTGAGCTTCCCCACCATGGTGCTTTTCACTGTTTCCAGCACCCATGGACGTCCATGGGAGCAGAGAATTTGGGGGGCAGGGACTGCCGCCACCTATAGTAGTAATGCACTTGTTACTAGTAGCAATGCACTTGTTACTCATGTGGAAAGTGTGAGATTCCCTTGGACTGGTGGTGTGTTTGTGTGTGTGTGTGCCCCCTCCCGTTTCCAGGGACACTAACTGACTTGTCATTTTTCCGCTATTGCACATAGTTCCGCAGGGGGCGCATGGGCACTTGGATGGCATGGGCCAATGAAGACCCATCCATGTTGCCGTGAAAACGTACCTGCACTCATTGTTCAAACTTCATTCCGCTGACTCTTTGTGAACGTAGGTATGGCCAAAGCTGTCAAATACGGTGTTTCGCCATCAAGGTCTAATCTTAAAGTGCTAACGCTCACCGCGCATCTCTGAACTTCTGCTGTCAGTTTTTGTTCCAGCTCACGCTCTCAAAAATGCTAGCCAACACACTCACCAACCTGCAAGCAAATCGGCTTGCCACACAACCGAGCTCCACACCCAACATATTTGAGCCCCCCGAACCACAAGAAAGGCGTAAGCCAACACGACACTGAGCAAGCAAGCTTGCACTGTACTCAAAGCTCCCCAATCTCGAACCCCTTGCCTTTCACTCATGTCATGACAGAACCCCTTGGCTTGCGTAATCCGACCGTTGTTTTTACTTACTACAGCCTCCCGTTGCGCTTCCTCGTATATTTCAGCCCCCCGAACCATAAGCACAGCGACACCTACGGCGGGACAGGCAATGATTCACGAATCTTGCATTCGTGCTGCAGAGCTACTGTACGTCCACTACTGAATCTGTTTTACCTGAGAAAACTTCATTATACCAACTTTTAGGTGTTGCGAATGTCAGACGAAATGACTTTCACTCTTCCCTTTTCCTTTTGCTCTTCTCTCCCTTTCGTTCTTTCTAGAGGCTTGTTAGGTTGTAATTTCAGGTTGTGCCGACAACGGCTTTATCACCAGCTTCAACTGGTACCAGCTTTGAATACTGGATCTCCACCACCTGCGCGAGAATTTGCCATTTAGGCATCCAGTCTCACAACACCAAATGCTCCCCCGCTGACTCCCGTTTCCAGGATGAACTGACTTTTCGTTTTCCGCTATTGCACATAGTTCCGCAGGGGGCCATGGGCACTTGGATGGCGTTGCCGTGACAACGTACCTGCACTAATTGTTCAATCTTCACTCCGCTGACTCTTTGTGAACTCAAAGCTGTCTAATACGGTGTTTCGCCATAAAGGTCTACTGCAATAGTCTGGTATTGCCGTAACTAACCTTAAAGTGCTAATGTTCACCACGCATTTCTGAACTTCTGCTCTCACAAGCACAATTCTGAAGTGTTGTCTGTTTGACAGGGGGGTGGGAGTGGGGGTATCGGGGCCCCGAGGAGGGACGGAATTCATTCATTTGCATTCGTCATTGCTCATTTCTCATACAAACTTGCTGCAACGTGTGGAAAAGATTCTGTGGCTGCGCTTACCTTTACCAGACATGTTACGAACTCATCCGATGTATTTCTTGGATATCCTATCCTGTCAAGTGGTGATGGCATCAATGTGTTTCAGCGCAAAATTGCGTATGCTCAGCGTTGTTCATCTCCGGGTCACCAGTCACCAACTCTGCCTTATGCCCGACATGGGTCCAAGTCGCCGGGCCACCCCTCCGGACTCGGCTCTTTTTGCTGGCTTGTTGGATGACAAACCCGATAGCAGTAGGCTCTAAGGCAGTGGAAACCCGAGGAAACCAGACTGGATTTATATACCAGAATTTAACTCAAAGACTGTGTTTCATGAATCCTTGAGTGTCATATTTTGTAGTTCGCATCACCAGTCAGGCGAGTGACAGTCGGCAGTCAGTCAGTTCGACTCGCCACGGCCCGTGCGCAGGTGTGGCAGGGGCTCCAGTTGCACTTTCGCGCATGACCTGTCCGAGATCCGGGAGAGGCGCCGGAGCACGACCCGACGCACGCCCCGTAGTACGGGATGCCTCCAGCACGCGGGGTCCGTCCAGCGGGGCGCAGAGAGAGAGAGAGAGAGAGTGAGTGAGTGAGTGAGTGAGTGAGTGCGACATGGAACACGAGTCTGAGATATTTAGAGAGTAGTATTTGGATGTAGTTGGGTATCCCGTTTGAAATGTCCTTTGTGGAATCAGGGAACTTAGGTACTGAAACGGACCGTTTTAAGGGGATCATTGTGCATTTGTCGGCCCTTACATGTGGGATCACAGTTTGCCCAAAGGAAGAAGAGACCATCACATAGCCCGCACAGATGCTGCCTCCAACGTGGGAGTGGGGCCAACTGGAAGATCACGTAAGCCGTTTGCCCAATACGGCTCAAAACCAAGCCTGACGACACTGCTGTGGCTCTTCCAAGAAAAAGAAAGTAAAAGTGAGTTGTCACCG